CAAATAATAGGAAAACCTACTCATTCATGCTTACATTTCTTACTTTGTTGCAGCTAACAAGGAGGAATTTTCTTTACTCCCAAACCAGAGTCAATGTGTTGGCCCCACCCCCTTAGAAATAACCTTACTCGCTGCCACCCAGTCAGCCTGGCTGGAGAACTTTCCCTGGGAGTTTCCAAGACTAATTATTTATGGGAAGTAGAAAGCCTCAGCTTTCTCCTGCAGAGCAGCTGGTGGTTTCAAACTGCTGACCTTGTGGTTAGCAGCCCAACTCTATAGCGATCATAACTTTTTCCTTTACAGAGCAAAACATTCTGAGAGGTAAAATAACTTACCAGTGACTATAATCAGTCAATGTTGGAGAAAGGGCCGTCACCCAAAGTAACTTGTTTCTATTCTGAATGATATACAATTCTGTAAAGTACTGATTCGTCTCCCTTCACCCACTTTTTGGTTGTCTGTCCCCCAGGAAGGAGGTCACACACAGTTCCTTGTAATCGGTTCCCTCTTTCCTACCCATTCTCCCTTTACCCTCCCTGTTTCGCCACTCACACCACTGGTCCTGTAGGGCTCATCTGTCCTGGATTCCCTGTATTTTCAGTTCCCATCTGTACCAGTGTACATCCTCTGGTCTACCCAGACTTGCAAGATCGAATTCGAGTTATGGTAGTGGGAGCGGGGAGGAAATTTAGGAACTAGAGGATCCCTAAATGTTACATAGCTCATTCTACTGCGTTAGGTGAAGGTCTCAAGAACCACGTGTTCATGGAAACGAGGGGGAGGAAGCATTTACTAGAGGAATGATGTGTGATTCGTTGGTGCTGTACTACACCTTGGTTGAATCATCCCTTCCTTATCCCACTTCTGTGGGGGGATATCCGATTGTCTGCAGATGGGCTTTGGGGCTCCACTCCAACCCCCCTCTATCACATCGATATAGTTGTTTTGGATCTTTTGATACCTGTTGCCTGATCACACAGGCTGGTGTGTTTCTTCCATGTGGGCTTATTTGCTTCCCTGCTAGATGGTTGCTTGTTTAACTTCAAGCCTTTAAGACCCCGGATGCTCTATCTTTTGATAGCTGGGCCTCGTCTGCTCTCTTCATATTTGCTTAGGCACCATTTTACCTTCAGTGATCATGTCAGGAAGGCGAGTATCAAAGAGTACCAGGTGATCAGAACAAAGTGTACCTGTGTTAAGGGAGCCTTGAGTAGAGGCCCAAAGTCCATCTGCTATCTTAATACTTATCATATAGATATATGTACATTGGCCTCTATCCCTTTATTTATAAATTAATATATTTACATATATATATACATGCCTATAGCTACACCTCTGTAAATAGCTTTTGCCTCCTATTTCTTCCCTCTATTTCCTTTCACCTTCCTCCTATCCCACTATCATACTCACTCTCCATTCAGTCTTTCCTCTCAGATACATTGCTCTTGATCAAGCCCCACCTGGCATTATACATCCTCCTCACCATCAATTTTAGATCTCTTGTCCCTGTATCTCTGAGTTTGTTGGCTCCCCACTCCCTCTCCTCCCCACCCCACCCCCCACACACACCCCCTGAACCATAGTTTTCTCCTGGGGATTGTTCGTCCTACCTATCTTATGTAGATAGACAAAAGAAAGAAAAACAAAAACATGACCCAGTTATAACTTACAAAACTGGCTAGACCGGAGAACACACATTGGAACAGATAAAAGCTCTGGCCATAGGGAATTCAGGACAGATAAATCCTTCAGGAACAGTAATGGGAGTAGCAAGATTATGAGGGTAGGAGAGTGGTCAGGGAGGGGGAAGGGTGAGAAAAGAGGAACCCATCACAAGATTGGAAATATAGCCCCCACCCCCACCCCATGAAGGGGACAAATAACAGAAATGTGGGTGACATTTCCAACAAAGGGAGACAAAGGACAGTGTAAGATATGAAACAACAATAACAATATATGTTGATCAGGGATACAGGAAGAGGGGAGAGGAGGGAGGGGAAAAAAGAGCAGCTTGTATCAAGGGCTCAAGAAGAAAATGTCTTGGAAATGATGATGGCGACACATGTACAAATATGCTTGATACAATTGATGTATGGAATGTTATAAGAGCTGTAAGAGCCCCCAATAAAATGGGGAAAAAAACACCCACGTGTTCAAACTAGCAACCACCAAGTTTCAGTCACTCACCAGAGAAAGAACTTCTCCTTTGAAGTCCTTATTCAGTTTCAAGGAGAGTTTGATTTTGTTTTAATGTCCTTCTGTGTTCAATAGGTAACTCCAAAAGAAAAGAATACATCGTGTTCACTAATGAACCTTCAATCTCCTCTCACTGTGACTAACCTATGTTCTCATTGACTGCTTCTTTGATAAATGGATGAATGCCTAAGGTGTATGTTTAAAAAAAAAATCTAAGAATTGTAAATGTCTAGGCTCCTAACACACCTTCACACTTCTTAGACCCCCCCCTTACCCCATGCCCACCCCTAGGCTCCTAATAGCTGAGGTGGTGTAGTGGCTGCGTGTGGGGCTGCGATCCACAGGGGCAACAATTCAAACCCACCAGCAGCTCTGCAGTGCAGGAAAAAGCCAGAGCTTCCTGCTAGGTAAACAGCAACAGTCCCGGAAACCCACAGGGGGTCGGTATGAATCAGGTGGCAATGAGTTTCCTTTAAAGTGACATTTCCCCTTTATAAAGCCCCTCCCCTTGAATATGAAATGCAGAAATGTAGGATTTTTTAAAAATAACATAACCACATTGCTTCTTGCCAAGTTATTTAAGTTTGGAATTCTAAGTGCACCTCTTGGTCTGGGGACAATTTTTAAATACTCAGAAATTGGAAGAACTGCTGTTTGCTGCCACCTTGTGGCCAAATTATAATTTGCATGACCTTGTACAAGGTGTTTCCAACTCACAGCGTCCCTGCCACATAGGGCTTCCAAGATAGCAATCTTTATGGGAGCAGACAGCCTCTTCTTCCCTGCAGTAGTCACTGGGTTTGAACCGCCAACCTTGTGATTAGCAGCCCATCACCTAAACCACAGCTGCACCAGGGCTCCTTTTGTTTACTACTTTGTTTTTTCTATAGATAGATCTCAAACTCATTGCCATCAAGTTGATTTCGACCCATGGCAAAGCAAGTTAATATAGAGATTAATAGATCTCACAAGAGTTCTTCTTAAGGGCGGAATCATCTAGGCATTTGGAACACTCATTAACACACCACTCAGTGTTGGAGCCCTGGTGGCACTGTGGGTTAGGTGTTGGGCTGCTGACCACAGGTTCAGCCATTCAAACCCACCAAACACTCTGAGCAGGTTGTCTGTTCCTGTGGACATTTTCCGTCTCCAAAAGCCTGTATTAAGTTGTCATGCGGAATGGCTTTTGCGTAAGAAAGATGAGGCTCTGGGGATACTTTATACACGCAAACCCAGACAACAACCAATTCATGGCATTTCTTGAACCCAACAGTGGACTGAAGTAGTGGGCAACCAAGTGTCCCGAACTCTCAACAAAGACATCTGCAAGGAGAGATGAGACTGTCACTGGCTGAGCTGGGGTGATACAACCAGTGAAGGTTGTTCCCCACGTGTGTGGCCCCTGGTAAGAGAAGCTGAAGTCTTGGGGCAGACACATACAGAGAGCTCCACTTTCTTACAGACCTTTCCCCTCAAACCCACCAGGAACTCTCAGAAAACAATGGCAAGAGTCCTGAAAAAAAGTGCAGATCCAGGAAGGAGAGAGCCAGAGCCCCTGTGGGACCTGCGTGATGCTGTGCTGGGCGGCAGCCCTCCTCTAGCAAGCAAGAGCCGAATCTGTTGGCGAATGGTAAGCACTCTGCCACCCTGGAGCGTTGATTAGAACCCCGTATAGCTGAGGGGGAAGCATTTCAGATGGAGCAGGGTAGGGGCACTAAGGAGGCTACACCCCTGGGACCCAAACCTGGAGCCTGCCAAAGCCTGGGGCTTACTTTGAACTACAGGGAATATCCATCACCCTGCCCCAGCCCCCCTTCCCCAGCCCCTGCAACAACAGGGCAAGCTTGAAGTAGCAAATACATAGAATGGGACAGACCCCATTTGAGGTTCGGTGCTAAAGGTAGGCCTCAAGGTGAGGATGGAATGAACATTGAGAAAGAAAAACCCCCATCCCCAAAGCCACGGTACTGCTCCTCACTGGGAATATCCAAGCTCAGATGAGCCGGGGAAACATTTGTCATGGGGAAGCGCTCAATGGGTCATCAGATGAGGGCCAAAATAGGTGGTCTCCCAGATACCCTGTAGTTTTAAGATTCTCCAGTTCTAAGGTGGAACATTCTAGGAGCTGAATAAACAGAAGCTATTGTGGAACCCAACAAACCTGTTTGTCTTTTCTTCCTCGGAGTCATGTGTCTGTAAGAAGCTGGGCTATACGGAACATTCTAGGAGAGGGCGGAAAACAGATAGATCTCATCTCCAGAATGCTTCTCTCTCTGTGTGCCTATGACCAATGCGTCAGCATACTCCAGAGAATGCATTTACGGTACTGTTCTTTATATAAAGACTGTTTAATACCAAGGCATAATGCAAAATGTGTGCTAGTATGCCTATATGGGAGACACTTAATGCCAAAAGGAAATGCCAGATGAATTTTAATAAAGTGCTGTTGGCAGAAGTCATTTCAACTCAGTAATTCCTTTTAATTTACATGCACATTTATAAACAAATTTTGTGTGTGATTAAGAAAATACTCTAAAACATTCACTGCCATTGAGTGAATTCTGCCTCATAGCGACCCTATAGGACAAGGTAGAACTGCCCATGTGAGTTTCCCAGACTGCAATTCTTTATGGATCAGAAAGCCCCGTCTTTCTCCCATGCCAATGCCTGGTGATGTCAAACTGCTGGCCTTCCATTTAGCAGCCTCACGTGTAACTACTCTACCACCAAGGCTGAAAAAATAATCTACTAAAAGACATTTTCATGGTGGGCTGTTTAAAATCTAATAATAAATGTGACAATAATTTGAATATTTAAATGTTAAAATGTTTAATAAAAATAACTAGAAATTATCTCCGAAAACAGTATATTGGAACATGGCTTTAACTTTGATTTCCTTTGAAGTTGTTTATACCAAAATGTTCATTTGCTTCTGTTGAAAAATACTGGTTTATTTCATGGGAATACTGAAGTAAACATTCTTGTAAAATAAATTATATACAGAAAATGTATGTACGTATATATTCTATATACATAAATATACATGCCACACAGGTGTTAAATTATCCACCTTGTAATTTTATCTTTAAAATTTGTGTCATTGCATAAACATTCTCTCTTATACATTTGATCTCTTGTGATAAAGCAGTTTCCTCTTTCTATAGGGCTTCCTGTAAAAGCAAACGGAGCTGCTTCTGCTCGTCGTTCACTGGAGAGGCCCACTTCTTCTTCAAGTACTGGATGTCAATGTCGCCAGAGGCCCTGGCCAGCACTAGCACAAGGAAACTGCTAGTGGTCTTTTCCGGTTCACCCATCATGGTCATTGTTACCAGCCTAGAAACAAGAGAAGTCAGGTAAGTGGTCATACATGAGATTTAGTTTTTTATTTTCTTCTTTTTGGGGGACTCCCTAAGTATCTAGCTTCCAAGTGAGGCGTGAAATGGAAGACAAATTCCACAATGATCTAATAACAGTCTAAGTGAAAAGGTGGACCAGAAGTAAGTATATAAAACACTATAGGATTGTTTTTAGAACACAGCTCACAATTCAGAGGTTTGGTGAGTCTGTGACGGTGATTGTAGGGATGAGTAGCCTTAAGACGACCCTGATAGAATCTGGTGTCATTTTCCTGTAGACAGTAGGACAGCCATCTCCTCTGTCTCGCATCTCCCCGTTCAAGAGTAGATAGCATTTCAGGGGCAAATTTCCTTGGGAATGCTGGGAGAGCTCAACATTCAGGCAGTTCCTCCCCCGTACCTGTATCCACAGGCTTGCACATCTTGCTCTTCAGCAGTTCGTCTTTGAACTCCCTACTTGGTGATCTCATCTACACCCGTGTCTCCAGTCAAATCTGTCTCCAATCTAGGATTCGTTCCAGACCCAGTCAACTTTTCCATTCAGGCATAGCACAGACACGCCAAGATGTACTCTTCCAGAAGCAACAAAGCCCACATGGAAGAAGCACATCAGCCTGTGTGATCACGAGGTGTCGAAGGGATCAGGTATCAGGTGCCAAAGAACAAAAAAATCTAATCATTGTGAATGAGGGGGGAGTGCAGATTGGGGACCTAAGACTCATCTGTAGGCAACTGGACATCCCCTTACAGAAGGGTTGTGGGGAGGAGATGAGTCAGTCAGGGTGCAGTGTAGCAACAATGAAACATACAACTTTCCTCTAGTTCTTAAATGCTCCCCCCCACCCCCACTATCATGATCCCAGTTTTACCTTACAAATCTGGCTAGACCAGAGGATGTACATTGGTACAGCTAGGAACTGGAAATACAGGGAATCCAGAACAGATAATCCCTTCAGAACCAGTGCTGAGAGTGGCAATACCAGGAGGGTAGAAGGAGGGTGGGGTAGAAAGGGAGAACCGATTACAAGGATCTACATATAACCTCCTCCCTGGAGAATGGACAACAGAAAAGTGGGTGGAGAGAGACATCAGACAGTGTAAGATAGGACAAAATAATAATTTATAAATTATCAAGGGTTCATGAGGGAGGGAGGAGAAAAATGAGGCACTGATACCAAGGGCTCAAGCAGAAAGCAAATGATGATGGCAACAAATCTACAAATGTGCTTGACACAGTGGGTGTATGTATGGATTGTGATAAGAGTTGCTTGAGCCTCCAATGAAATGATTTAGAAAAAAAAAACTTACTCTTCACCTGCAAACACTCTCCTGTATCTTCTGGGTGAATGGCAATCCCACCATCCACACAAGTGCCTTCGAAAAACCTGGAGGTGACCCTGGAGACCTCTGTGTATCTTACTCCTGCACTCTTGCACGGGTCCAGGCTAGTCGATTCTACTTCCTACTCTCTCTCCTCCAACACCACTATGACCACAGCTCAGACTCTCATCTTTCCTCTCTGATAACTACAGCGGTTTCTTGTCAGTCTATTTCTCTCCAAACTTATCTTCTTCATATTGCTAACACCAAGACTTTAAAAAATAAATACCCAATTTTCACCTCACCTCTATTTAAAACTCTTAAATGCATCCTAACACCAATAGGAATATAGTGTTGGTGAAGAATATTGAAAGTACAGGGGACCACTAGAGGATAAAAGAATCAGTTTTAGAAGAATAGCCAGATTGCTGCTTAGAAGCAAAGGCGGTGAGACTTGGTTTCACAAACTGTGGACCTGTGATCAAGAGGGGCCACTCCTTGGAGAAGGACATCATGCTGGGTGGTAAAGTAACCATCAGCAAAAATGAGGAGGCCCCGCAACATGATGGTCTGACACGGTGGCTCCCACCATAGGCTCAAACATAACAGTGTTGAGGTGGAGGAGTATCGCTCTATTGTATACACGGTCACTGTGCATCGGAACTGACACAACAGCACCCATCCCTAGAAGCCTTCCATGACCTCGTGCCGATTCCTATTTTGCGTCAGGCCTCCCGCAGCATCCTGGAACTAGCTCTGTCATAGTACTAATGATGCTTTTAATTGTAATTATTAACAGTTATTAACAAAAGGGGAGCAGAAATGTGCAACTGGCCTATGTGACCAGTGCAATGCCCACCGCTTTAGTTTTATTTTTTTAGGATTTGTCTAATTCTATAACGACTAGAGAAAGCTGGTGTCAGGCTTTGAGCAGGGACTTGCTGGCCTTCAATGGGATGGAAAACTCAGAGCAGGATGAAGTAGTGAGCATCCTCTAGGACACTACAGTGAGAGAGCCCACAGTCCCGAGCGGCAGTCACCTGTGCCCACAAGAACCTGGTTGCCATGGTTAATTTTCAGACCGACTAACATTCCACAATTCTAAGATCTGTGCCTACAACCCAAATGCCCTCACCCAACCCCAACACCCAAGTGACAAGAAAAACGGAATATGAAAAAAAAAGTAAAGACCCTAAAATTAATAGCAAAGCTTATTTTTAAAAAGACTCTAAGAGTTTGGCACTTTGAGTTAGGAAAGAACACCTTGAGAGGGGCCGTGGGGAAGCACGGGCCTGGGCAGAAGTGACAGGATGCCTCAACAGGCTACCACAGCCATGTCCAGACGGCGCCAAGCCAAAGGTGCTCCAAAATTGGCTGGCAGACACCTACCAATGAGTTGCAGGTTGGGCCAAAGCTGCACCTGGGAAACAGATCTGTTCTGAGAAAGCAGGGCATTTTAGCTAAACAAGCCTCCACTGAAGCAGTTCGTTTCAATAAATATTTACTCTCCACTTTATCTGTGGGCCACTTGCTATAAAGAACTTAGTGGGAGAGGGAAGTGTGAGAAGCCACGCCATGAAAAATGTAAAGTCATCAGAATTGTCACCAACGTCTTAATATGTTAACACGGCTGCCCCACGGCTGGCGGAAAAACATAAGCAAGTTGAACGGCTACAAACTTGGAAGCATCGTGAGCGGGTGATAAACGTGAATGGTGCTCCTGCCATCTGGCCTCTGAGGCCGAGCCTGGTGGACAGGTAGATGAGCATGCTTCACTGAGAAAGCAAGCCTAGAATCAACATGACTTTAAACTATATGCATTAACCCTCCGTGAGGGGAATTTTTAAACAAGGCCTTCGTGTTTGTATACTGGGCAAAGTTAAAGAAGCCAGAAAACAAAACCAAAATAGTGGGTTCAATCTTCTATTTCTACATTAACCAACAACTCCAAGTTTGGCCGTAAAGGAGCTGTAGGAATGCGGGAACCCATTCACCCTCCAAGCATCCCTCGCTCTCGCCTGCTTCAAGACCACTTGGAAACAGGCTCTGCATGAGCTTTAATCTGAATTCAAAAAGTTGTGCATCCTTCCTGGAATCTATATTTGATGCTTTGCTTTAAAATTTTACCATTTTCTTTGTGTTCTGTTTTTCATTACACTTAGAGAAAAACAATTTGGCACTTTCTGTATGGCATCAGCAAGCATAGGCCTCAAGACTGAACTCAGGGTGTCTACGGGAAAGCACAGCATGATCAGATTATGTTTTCTTATCCCTGAGCCATGGGAGCTTCTTCCCACTCTGGAAACCACAGGACAGCTGTCTACTCCTTCCGGCAAGGTCCTGAGATATTAACATCCCATGAACGAATGTCCCACTCACGGAGCCAGAGCATTTGTGGGCAGGTAGGACAACTCCCTCCTCTCTCAGCTGGCAGAAGACTCAGGTTCATGGTCAGAGAGTTTGGTTATAGTTCTCAACACACGTTTTCTTTTATGGAAAATGATAGCAATAAGATTGAAGTTAAACTGTTTAAGGGTAGGACCTAACTATTCTGTATTATGATCCAGTAAGCCTGATAAAAATGTAACACTGGGCATTTCATGTCCCCGTTTAAGGTCCTCCAACTGATAGCTCCTTATCTGACTCAAGGATAAAATCTCTTCCTTCCAATTGCCAGTGGGCCCTAGACACCTTGCCTCATCTTTTCCTCATCCAATGCTACACATACTGCAGCCACTGGATCCACAGGGGCACAGTTCCACTTCTCTTGACTGGGTTGAAGATCCTCACATGGCTTGATCCCCCATCTCCATCAGAGGTTCCCCCAAACACCACCTTCTCACATCACACCCCTCCTTTGGCTGCCCTATTTAAAATGCCAACTACTGTGCTTCTCACTCTCCTTGACCCCACACCTCTCTATTTCATTTCCCCTAGGAAACACATTTTAATATGTCTATGAATTCCTTATTTATTTCCCATCTTACCTCATTAGAAGTAAATGTAATTAAGAAAGGAAATAGCTGTTTTTCCTTCACTGTAACTCTAAAACCTAGAGCTATACCAGGCAGATAGTAAGTGCTCAATAAATACTTGCTTGATTATAACTGACTCACAAATAAACTTTTTAGAATAATAAACTGTATTGCAGTATATGTCCACATATCAATCACACTCTGGATTTGATGTGTTTTAAAAATAATTTTTAAAATGTAAGTAGTTGAACTAAATAATTGCAGTTCTATTTTTCCTCAGACATTATTTTTTCCCTAACATGCTATCAAACATTGTTTCAAATCTTTTTCAATTATTTTATAAATATTTTGCATCCAACTAAATCAAATAGCAAAGAACAAATCATTTTAAAGTAATATATAGGACAAAGTGTGTCTTAAATTTAATGAATTTTATCCAAAACTAAACTCACGGCCATCCAGTCACTGCTGACTCACAGCGCCCCTCTGTGTGTTTCTGGGACCCTCACTGTTGACAGAAGTGGGAAGCCCACTGTGTTTCACACTGCCGGCCTTAGAGCTCACGGCCCAACCCACACCCATTGCACCGCCAGGGCTCCTGCAAAAACCACGAGGGCTCTGTAATGCTTGAGGCGGGAGCTGTTGAAGAGGTTGAAGCACAGGAATGATTCAGACCCGAACTCGCGCCCTCCCGTTGATTCCGACTCACAGCAACCCCATCCGACAGGGGAGAGCTGCCCCGTGGGTTCCAGACACTCCAGCTCTCTGCGGAAGGAGAAAGCCTCGTCTCTCCCCACCAGAGCAGCTGGTGGTTCCCAACTGCATACCTTGTAGTTAGCAGTCCAATGCGTAACCACTATACCCCTGGGCTCCTCAAAGGAATGACACTAATGTGAACTATGTAAATTATTAACTCCCATATGCTATTTCTTTTTGAATCAGAAGAAATGTTTTTATATCACTATGGCATATGTTGAGGCTATGAAGTTGCAAATGAGCATACTTAAGGTGTCACAAAAAGTCACTTCTTCGATGCTAATAATGAGAAAATATGTATTATGGCATAACTGTTTTTTTGGCATAACTTTTATAATATAATAAATTACTTGGGCTAAGTATAAATAACTTAAATAGCCATATTCTTAAATGTTCACTGAAACCTATGTTAATTTTCACTTATATTTTGCTTTTTATTGTTTGAATATGATTCCAAGGGCACTCATTTTCTGCTTTAGCTAGATTAGAAAAAAAATAGTCTGGGATAATAAAAATTAATATTAAATCACCTCAATTTCAAATCACTCTTTAAAACAATCTCCATTACTATATGAAGAGATAAGAGGTATCTGGCCTCATTCCTGCAAGCACAGCTTTCCGGTGGCCTTTGAACTGGCCAAGAACACCGGGGGTCTGGCCAAAGGAACAGCTGGACTCTCATTTCCCTAATTGAAACGGTGGCAGAGAGTGGCTTTGCTGAGGAAGAATTGACTGTCAGAAAGTACTTGGTTGAAATCAGGCCAACAGAAAAATGAGAATAAACAAAACTCCGTGCCTCCTTCCCGAGGTCTTAGGATGGAAACAAGAAGTGATGGCATCTCTCTAGAGGGCTGCAAACTCCGAATCGCCCTGGTGAAGGAAGAAAATGCTGGGCAGCTCAGCTCCACAAAGACGACATGGTTCTGGCCCAGAGTCACGTCCGGCCCGGTCCTGGCATCAGTGCTATTTAAAGCCGACAGTTGCATCTGTGGCTTGTCAGAGTGCTGTAGCAGCGAGCCCCGGAAAACAATCAACTTGGGGTTTGCTGCGCTCGTGGAACCCACGCAAACCTACAGCCCTCTCTACAGCAGGCTCGGAATCCTTTCGCAAAAGAACCTTGGGGTTCATATGCGGCAGGACCCCGTTTTTTACTCTATTTGTCCCCCAACACCACCCGCTTCCAAAAAGAGTCCTGGGCTTCCTTAGTGAACACTTTTCCTTGAAGACGTATTCCTGCAATGTGCCTGGAGCAGAGAGCCCCATCTCCTACTGCTTTTTAACATCATTCGCTGCTGTTATTTTTTTCTGCCTAATCAAGCTTGCTCCCACAGCTCACCTCTAGCAAAACTGTATCTTGCCTATAAAGGGCATTGCGGCACAAAATCTTTTGGTAACCTTTCAAACGAAAGATGAAAGGAACTTTAATCTTAACAGTATGGGCAGTCCTGTCATTTATGAACAATAGCTGTTCCTGTGTCTTTAAGAGTGTTTGGGTAAGTCACCTGGTTGTTAGCCAGCCTCACTTTGGTGCAAGAAAAAGGAGTCCTGGTGGTGTAGCGGGCTAGGCATTGGGCTGCTCGCCACAAGGTCAGCAGTTTGAACCTACCAGCTGCTCCGTGGGAGAAAGATGAGTGAGGCTTTCTGCTGACATCAAGATTCAGCGCCTTCGAAACCCGAAGGGGCAGTCCTACCCTGTCCTGTAAGGCGCTATGAGTCAGAGTCAACCTGATGGCAGTGGGTTTAGGTGAAGAAAAGGTTCAACGGCCTTTTAATCATTTAAAGACTGTCCACACAGCAAGTGGAGGCGAATGTGGTGACTCAACTGAAGTGTTGGTTCGGTCAGTTCGATTTGAGGGCAAAGGTACCTACTATTAAAGGGCCAGTAGGAGTAATATAGCTTTTAAACTTGTTCATTGACTGGCATCCAAGAATGAATGATTTTCCTTCCAGTAGTACAAAGTCCAAGGGGAGAGAGCAACAAATATGATAGCTAAAATAATTAAAAGGGGGAACCGATAGCAATGATGGATGCATAACCACCGCCGCCACCACCCCTGAGGGGGACGAATAACAAAAACATGGGTGAAGGTATACAGTGGATGGTATAAGATAAGAACAAATATATACATATACATATATATATAATTTATCAAGGGTTCATGAGGGTGGGAAGGTAGAGGAGGGAAGGAGGGAGGGAACAAAGAGGAGCTGATAATAAGGGCTCAAGTGAGAGATAATGTTTTGAAAATGACGATGGCAACATATGTACAAGTTTGCTTGATACAATTGATTTATAGATTGTTATAATATCAATAAGAACCCCTCAAAAAATTCTTTTTTAAAGGTGTAATAATTTAAAGCTAAAAAAAGGAAATCCTAAAGGTAAGAAATGTACATAAAAATACATTTGGCTTCCAATCAAATGATTTAAAAAAAATTTTTTTAATGACAAAATTAGTGCAAAAGGATCCCTAAATAGTTTTATATATTATGACAGTAGCACTCTAACACTGACACACATTATAAAGTTTATTATGCACAGGTCACTCCCTGAATGTCTACGTCCACTTGTTTCTAATAGTCCTGCTAGATGCCTTTCCCTTTCAGGTAGACTTAAGTTAAATATCTTTATCCAATTTGAAATTCTGGTATTTATTATTCAAATTATTGGGGAGACAATACATCATCATAAATCATAGAAGCAGATTCTTGAACAACCCCTCCCCCAGCTCACCCCAGCCCCCCAAGTGATAGTTGCTGGCTGGAAACAAAATGCAAGCAGTCATTTAGACTCCAATTTAATACAGTTGAACAATTTTATCTACAACTTAAAGAAGAAAAGACCATCGAAAATGTTTCTGCAAAACATCACCCACAACAGGCGATTATGAGTTTCATCAGACTTACTTGTCTGGAGAGATGGGCTGTCTGGCTACAGGCCCCAGATCACTTTCCAGTAGGTCCCAAATATAAATGCTGGATGTGTCATCCTGGACCAAAAACACCGCGGGTCTTGTGACTGACCACTGTAAGCCGCAAACCGCGTGGCCATTGGTGCTGTTACTCCACTGCATCAGTGGATACTCAGAAGTCAGCTGATGTAATCTGATGCTGCCATCTGAACAGCCAGCCTACACCACCCAGGGGGGGGCAGAGAGAAAGAACAATTGTTGGCCATTAGTACCCTTTCTTCTTTTTTATTTTTATTGAACCTTGATCATAAAAGCCAGGAAGATATATATATATATAACTACTGTTCTCTAGTTTGTACAGAAAAAGCATTTGTTTTATCTTTGGTTTTGAAAACATAAAATTATGCCATTAAATCTGTCCTCACAAATTAGGTCTCTGCTGCTCATGTGCCTTGTACTGTCTATGCCTCCCTGAAAAGCTTCATCATCGATTCAGATATTACATGAAGATTCATTTAAGCAAAGTTGATTGTCACTCAGTTAAAACTGAGCCCATGAAAAGAAACTGGCTTCTAAAAAAAAATGTCACAAATTCTACTAATATGCTAAATAGTGCCCTTAGGTTAACATTTCCATAAAGCTAAACTTACTTAGCTCACTGTACACAAATATTGAAGCTCAGATAGTGAGTGGTGAGTTTATGTTAATGAGGGAAGAACTTCAAAATGAAAGTGTGAATGAATGTACATCTCAAAGAATATAGTAAATGCACTGAATTGTACAGGTAAACATTGTTGAATTGGTGTATATTCTGCTGTGTATATCCGTAACAAGAACAAAAAAATTATTGAAAAATTCAGAAATAAAAGCACAGTTCCTTTCTGTTCAATAGTTATTCTTTCATTCATTCCAAAAACAGGGGGTAGGGGGGAGAAAATTACCAAGAATAGAAGAAAATCCTAAAATGAAACACAAAGCACAAATTTTTAGACTGCATCACAAATGAATAAATGTACCATGCTGATGAGAGAAAGGGGGGCGAGAATCAATCCGAGTAGTTTGTTAACATAATACTTGAACGATTTATCTTCAGACTAAAAAAATATATAAAACTCTAAATATTACACTCTGCTTAGTAGGTATTTCAGAGTTGAATAAAATAAGTAAATCCTGTGTGGATAATGGGCACCATGTTTCCCACTGTCTGAAGGCAGTTACACACAGAAAAGGGAACAGAGAGAATGAGCCCTGTGGTGTTAGACTAGAATTCTGGATATTCAAAATAGAGATATCGATGAACATGGGTATAGATATATCGTATAGGACCATTTGAAGCACTGTACACTGAGAGGGCCACAAAAGAAATGACATCTCAGTTTAAAGGAGCTCATCTTACTGCGTAGATCCTGGTTTCTAATTATTTTTCTCCACTAACAGGGACCAATTATGGGGCTGGATCAGGACTCAGCTGTATTTCCTCCCATTGTGCATGGAAGGGCTGGGGTGTTTACAGCAGCTAACAACCACAAAAGTTTGAGGAGTAAGTTCCCACAAGATACTTATTAATTATGGAGGGAATAACTGTTACTCTATAGTGGAGAACCTCAGCAGGCATCATCACCTTTACCTGTGATCTGAATAAACAGCATCAGTAATGGAGCAAACCAAACCTGTGTGCCTCATCATCTGATAGAATATAACATCATATCTGAGGTAGTCTAGCTCAGTATGTATATATATCCCAAATGTAATCATGAGGAGACATCAAGCAAACCCACATAAACAAATATTCTACAAAATAACCAACCTCTGGCCTGTGCTCTTAAAAAATGCCAAGGTGAGCCCCCTCCCAGGGGGATGGACAACAGATAAGTGGGTGAAAGGAGACATCGGTCAGTGTAAGATATAAAAAAATAATAGTAATTTATAAATGATCAAGGGTTCATGAGGGGAGGGAGGGGGAAAAACAAGAAGTTGATACCAAGGACTCAAGTAGAAAGAAAATGTTTTGAAAATGATGATGGCAACAAATGTACAAATGTGCTTGACACAATGGGTAGATGTATGGATTGTGATAAGAACTGTAAGAGCCCCCAATAAAATGATTTGTTAAAAAAAAAATGTTAAGGCCATGAATGACTGAGGAACTTCTCAAAGTAAAGGCAACATAACTGAGTGAAACTCATAACCTGGGACCCTATTTTGCTTATTAAGGACTCATCATGATAGCTAAATAAGATCTATACCCAGATAACAGATTTGCACCAATGGTAATCTCCTGATTGTGATAACTATACTATAACTATATAAAAGAAAGTTCTTATTTCTAGGAAACAAACACTAAATTATTTAGGGATAGAGGATCATGCTTGCAACTTCTTCTCAAACAGTCAAAAACATATATGCCTATATACAGGCCTATGTATAGAGACAGAAAGAGAAAAAGGCTGAAGCAAATTTGATGAATGCACAATGTGTGGAGAACCCAGATGAAGAGAATATAGGAATTCTTTGTACTGTTCTTTTCTGTCAGCCTGAAATTATTGCAAAGTAAAAAAGTTCAAGAAGACTCACTTTAATAACCCTGTAAAATGATTTGTATTGATTCTGAAGATATTACTTGAAGAACTCTAAGGACTAAAGTCTTAAAAACCAAGCCTTCTAACATCCATGATTTATGTCGTCACTCTTGTAGGATCGTAACGGTCCTATCTACAGACAGAATGGCCATACTGACTCAGTGAAGCGTTTCGGTGAAAGGAACCGAAATAGATGTCCTCGCGCATTGGTGCTGCTTCTTTTGCAAGGGCATTTAAACAGCCGAGGGGGACCTTTCCCCAAGCTGGCCCTGGAGGACACCACAGTGTCACCCCCGATCCTCGAGCGGCTTCTGCCCAGCCACAGCTTCTTGGGGGGCATCCTTGCTATTCTGGAATGCAAAGGATAGTTCTAAACTCTGGGGCCATGCATGTACGTCTTTGGGGGGAAACACCTTTGTTCTTTCACAGCACCTTTCACAAAACACAATGTTTACTTATCATTTTCATGTCCTCATCACAGTGGCCTGGTCTGGACCAGTGCTGTCCAGTAGAAATAGCATGTGAACCAAAAATCCGAATTGACCTATGTCATTTAAAGGTTTTGAGTAGCCACATTAAAAGAGAAAAGAGAAGCAAATGAAAGTAATTTTAATAGTATATTTACTTCACCCAAATATATCTAAATCTTATCTTTTCAATGATCAATTACAATGGAGATATTTACATTATCTCATTAAGGAGAATTCTTCAAGATTCATTGTGCATTTTATACTTAACAGTCATCTCAATTGAAACCAACCATATCAGTAGTCAATGGCATGTAGATTGAGGTTACTATACTGAGCAGCTCACCTTTATATTTGGGGAATATTAACATACAAATGCATAAAACACTGCCTCTGCTCTCAGGAATCATATAGTCCTTGGGGATGGAAGCACTGGTGGAGAAGCAATTCCGCACTTGGCTGTGAACCAATAGGTCAGCAGTTTGAACCAGCAGCAGCTCCGTGGGAGACCAATGAGGGAGTCTGCTTCTGTGAAGACTTACAGCCTCAAATATCCTATGAGTAGTTCTACTTTGTCCTACAGGGTCACTAAGAATTGGAGTTGACTCTGGTTTTGAGGTTTTAAGTGCTACAGTGACTAAAATGTCATAGGAGCAGAAAATGAAAAACATTCTCAGTCTGAAATTTAAGGAAATTTGTAAAAAGGTGACAAGTGAGTTGTAACATGATGCCTTGATCCTGTTCTCTTAGTAGCTTTATATACAATCACGTGTGAAATTTTAAAATATTTTGCCTTCTTGCTTCTCTCACCCCAACAGACAAACGGACCTAGGAACCTCCTCTAAAAGACTTCCTTGCATCACATCAACGCAGATTCATAAGTGACCCTAGTGGGCAGAAGAGAACTGCTTCATAAGGTTTCTGAAGGGTGAGACTTCGTCTCACGTGCTTTGGACATGTTATCAAGAAAGAGCAATCCCTCGTAGAAGACATGGTAAAGTAAAGGGATAGCAAAAACGAGGAAGACCCTCAACAAGATGAGCTGACACAGTAGGTGAAACAACGGGTTCAAACACAACAACTGTGAAAATGGTGCAGGGCTGGGCAGTATCTCCTGCTGTTGTATGTATGGTTGCTATGGGTTGCAATTGACTTACTAGCACCTAACAACAACAATAGTAGGTCTTTATAAGACCAGACTTTCTCCCATAGTAGAGCTGGTAGGTTCAAACCACTAACGCATGGGTTAGCAGTCCAAAGCTTAACCACTGTGTCACTATGCCTCCTTCATTTAAGAAAGGCCCTCCAAAAATTTATACTCTGGTCATATACTATATCTATCTACAGAGAGCACACTTGGGTTACTGGATGAGTATTCCTGTTTCATATCACAAACCAGTGAATTGTTAAATAACAAATTTCCTGCTTTAAAATCTACAGACTGGGAAAATATGACATTGATTTGGAGCGAACCAGACTGAAGACCTATCATGGAAGGTAGATGGTAATGGAGACACCCCGAAGAGAGATGTTCCTTGAGACATCTCTATCTTGGCGAGGAGCTGGGGAGATCTGATGTGCCCAATAGTCTTTCTAGAAGGTCTCTCCAGGTTAAAGTTTTTGCTCATTGATTTGTATTATGTTCTATTTAATAATAAGAGAACACAAGGCAATAATTACTCAATAAGTAAATGTTTGGCTACATCACAAGTTTTAATAGTTGGTACTCTTTTGTTGGGAGCCCTGGTGACACAGTGGGTTAAATATTGGGCTGCAAACCAGAAGGTCAGTGGCTCAAACCCACCAGCTGCTCCGTGGGAGAAAGATGAGGCCATTTGTTTCCATAAAGATTGCTAGTCTTAGAGATCATAAGGTGTGAGTCTATCAGTTCTACAGTCTTCTGTGAGTTGGAAATGACTCAATAGTAGTATGTTTGGGGTTTTTTAATGTTATTCTATTCTGTTGATTTCTAAGTAGTTTATAATTATACAGAGTATTAGTTCAGAAAAGTAAATATCTATGTAGCTATATATATATATTCAAATTTAAATGCATTTCATTTTTAGACAACCTACAGGACATGGTTTTTTTGTACTTTTTTCCTTTAAATAAATCAAGGTCAAAAGTACATGAAGAGCTCAAGATGACATCAGATCCACTTGTCTCGCTCCTGGTGTCAGGAGGATGAACAGCAGCTGGTTAGGATGACAGGCCATGGCTCCGTGAGCTGCCCACTGTGTGAGCCCTTCTCCATCTCTAGGCCATCCTTAAAGAAGATCATATATGGGTCGCACTATCCTCACCAGGGTTCAGCAGAGCAACCATGCTCTCTGCACTCTTGTCTTCACCAATAAAGAATGGGTTGTTTTCAAAAGCCACAAGGCTGTGCTTGATTTGTTCTGCAGCCCCTGTCATGAAAGGTTTTCCTCTTTCTAGTTTCTGTTCTTTAAGGTTGCCTTTGATTGCGTCCAGGTAGTCTTTGATGTACTTCTTATAGACTTCTTGTGTGAAGCTGGTTTCCTGCACGTGACGGCTGACAACAATATCAACACTGGTGATTACTGTGCTTTCTGTTCCATCGCCATCAGGGCCTTCAGCTGAAGTATTGCCACCAATGAGCGAGTCATGCATATTCCCTTTGGTCCTACTCGCCATCTTCCCCTTCACGTCCAGGGACTGCCCCGGCACGATCTGCTGGATGAGGTTCCAGTAGATGATCAAGATGGCGGCTAGAGGGAGATGGTAGCAGCGTTAGCTTAGCAGAAGCCAGGAGCTCAGAGCGAGTGCAGTGTTGCTGAAGCAGTGCTTGGCCGGGATCGGGCAGAAAGGGCGCTATATATATATATTTTAACCTCTGAAATTAATTTCATGTTTCCATACTTTCAACCACTGAAGCAGTAAATGATCAATGTGTGGCCTGATACATGACCAATTCTTAGGCTTGTCAATCACTGCAAGTGTTATACTGCCCAAATAAAACAAATACCATTAAAAAGAATAATTGCTTAAAAAAATAGGCTTTCTTACCAGGAATATTGGTTCTCCAAACGGTGAAAAATCAAGCACATTAACTTTTACTGGTCTTAGACCATGTTGTTGGGGTTTGAAAAATTTAGGAGATACTCTGAAATCTTGTCTTGCTCCATGACTTATAAGACCCTAAGAAGAAGGCAGTCAACCGTGACTAAAGAAAATGATCAAATACAAGGCTGAGTAAAGCTACTACTGTTAAAATAATTTAAATTAGAACATAATAAAATCAAAGAGTAAGTTCATCTTTAATGAAGCTCTAGATCAGGCAATTCTACAACAGGAGAGGAATGAGTTAAAGAATGAAACTTTGCTCACCAAGTCTGTGCCAACAATAAAATGATTAGGGTCTGAAGGCAGAAACTTAACAGTCAGTGTTTGTGCGGTCGTCCCAAATGCATTTTCTTTATGAGAAAGACTGAAAAGAAATACAAATCTCTTATTAACCCATCATGTCAACGATACTCAGTGACCAAACTAAACACTTAGGAGTTAGGCAAGGCCAACAATCAGGCTTATCCCTATCAGTCATTCCTACTATCAGTCACTGGGTTATTTCCCTGGTAGCCCCTTCCTTCATGCTCTTCTTTCAATGCCCACTATTAATTGCCTAGATCCGATCCTTACAACAAAAGTCACTTAACTGGTCAGCCTGACTCAAGTGTCCTTTCTCTGATTTATATGTACACTGATGTCAATTCAATTATTCTAACTCACATAGAAGACATGTCAATCCTTGGTTTTAAATCTTTTAATAGCTCCCTTACATCTTCAAGATGATGTTTAAATGCTTCGGCACACAACAGTATTCTTTAAGGTCTGGCCACTAATGCATTCCCCATCTCTCTTGACACCACACCTACTGGCAGTTTCCTAGGTGCATCATGAATCTTCATACAAACTCAAGCCAGTTGCCATAGAGTCAAATCTGACTCCTGGTTTTCCCATGTGTGTCAGAATTGAACTGTGCTCCATTGGGTTTTCAGTAACTGATTTTTTTTTAAGTAGATCACCAGGCCTTTTTTCTGTGGCACCTACTAATGGACATCAATCTCCAACTTTGTTGAATAAATATGTAGAGAACATTTATTGCAGGCAAGTGTTTAAATGGTTTCCCTACGCAGAGATCCCACATAAATACTAATCAACTGCCATTGAGTTGATACCAACTCAAAGCTACCTTATAGGAAGAGTCTAACTGTCCTCCAGTGGATTTCTGAGACTGTGAATCCTTAAAGAAGCAGACAGGCTAACCTTTCTCCCACAGAGAGGCAATGAGTTCAAAACACCAATATGGAGGTTATTCACCCAACACTGAACCCACTGAGCCACCTGAGTTCCTTCGTCCATCTTAGGCCTTCATATGTAATGTTCCCTCTTACTTCATATTGAGTCTATCTTCACCGTCAGTCTTTCAAGAACTTAGCTTAGTTATAAAACTCACCATTTCACTCTATTCCAAGCCCATCCACACCACTACCAAAACCTGCCTGGTCCCTTGCCCCCTTAGCATGCTCTGTGTTTACTTCTCACATAGCATGTGCTACACCAGACTGTAATTCTGGTATACAGGATATGCCACACTGAGATCCCAACACTTCAGTGAAGTACTTGTTTCCTAAAGGCTAGGCGAGGAGGGCTGAAGAAAGACAGCCTTTCGTTTTTAGCCCTTCAAAGAGTAAATCAGCTGTGGGGAGCTACTTCACTCAAAGGAACACCTGCCCCAAGGGAGACCCACATCAGTGAATGAGCAAGGAGCGAGTATGAAGGCCCCGACACTGTCTAGCCCATAGGCACTGGAAATAAGAGACTGTTTGGGGGGCCAGGTCACCTCAGCTCCTTCTCTCTGCCCAATTCTGCTTCCTTCCCCACTTTTAAACATCCTGACACTCCATTTCATTTCAAAGTTTCTTTGTTTGAAATTCAGGTACCCTAACTACAATAACAATTGTATTTCCTATGTCTGCCTCCCTATAGGAGTTCCTTGAGGAAATAGACATTACTCATTGATGCGGAGCCTAGAGTTGGCACATAAAATGTTTTCGATTGGTGGAACTCCAATATTGAGACCGTTAGACACCCTTTAAGACAGGCACTGGACTCACACCCTGGGATCAACTCTCAGTCAAACGACAGAACAGATCTGTTAGGTGAACCGACACACTTGGGAGGGACCCACACATGCTTTAGGCCATTCACCTATTCGAGATCAAAAGGGCAGCATTTGCAGACAGAGTTGAAAAGGCAAGAAGGGATAGGAAAAAGATGATTGGAAATGGGAAACCCAGAAGGGACGGAGAAGAGTGCTGCTCCATTGATGTCCTCAACACACTGACATGGGGGCTTGCAACCAATGTCGCCCCAAATGTGTATTACTGAAGGACAATGAATTTGCTCTGCTAACTTTTACCCGAACTACAATTTTTAAAGTTTTCTTTAAAAGTATATGATAAAATATATCACAGGAAAATATTATAATGAAAAAATAAATGGTATAAAATGGTAGGGGATATAACAAAGATAAAAAAAATAGTCTTAAAGAAGCCATCAAAAGAATTTTATGAGGAAATGGTAGAGTCGGTAAGTCAAACTAATTAATCCCCTTATCACTTATCTTTCACTCTGTTATATAATGACTTTCTAAAATCATAACTGATTCACTCTCAAAATTATATTTAAAACAACCAAAGTTTATTTAAAATCTCTTACAATATATAATTCATTATCCTCAACTCACAAAATATTCTGTGTGGTGATAAGGAGCCAGACAAATATAAAACATCCTTTATGCATAATTTGCACACTGATAGTTAACTATAGACTGCAGTAAATGGTTTCAAGTAAAATCTTGGGAAGTAAGTTAACAAGGAATGACACAAATGAATTAGTATATTTACTTTTGTCATAAGTTATATCCATAAAAGCAGAAATCTAAATTATTGAGAAAAGCTTTCAAATCAGATTCTCGTTCTTGAAAATTATCTAATTGAAATTCAACTTCCAGATTATACCAAAAATGCATAATAGTCAAAAAGTATTTGTATAAAATCAAAGATATTTTAATCAAGGAAAAAAGCTAGCTATACATTTGAATGTTTTAGTATAATGACTCAACAATAAACTAACCAAATAGCAAAATTACGTGAGAAAATAGCTTCAATTCCAAAACTATTAATTCACTTATTACATACACAATTCTCTAATGCTATTTCCTTCCTGTGAGAAGCTGATCTTAGTAAGATAAAGGAAACTGTTTTAGCATACTCAAAATAGTATATATAGTCTTACCTGATATTCAACTGAATCACAGAGCTATGTACTAATTTTATCCTCCCACCAGGTATTAAACCTGAAAATAGACAGACCAAAAATAAAAGCACTTCCAAATAAAATGCTGCAATCAACATCTAATTACAGTTGCCTGGAATCATTTTTCATTGCTTTGGGAAATTTTCTGCTTTAGGAAATGACATTACAATATAAATCAAAACCAGTATTCCCTCCTTAATTGCTTGGCCTGGAGTTAAGAGTTGAGAATTAAGAATTTGTCATTCATGGCCATATTGGATAAAAGATTAGTGAATAAAAATGAAGAAGCCCTTACATTTTAGAATTCATAAAACAAAATGCTGAGGGAGGAACATTAAACGTTTAATACATCTGAAACTTAAAACAGAAAATACTTTACTGCACATGTCAATGCATCTTCTCACAGAGGTGGAAACTCCCTATGGCAGGGTTTGTGTCTTTTCGGCTTTGCTTCCCTAGGACCTGGGACCATACCTTGTTCATTCAAGAAACACTTGAAAAATGAATGAGAGAAAACTGGTGGCTGATTAGTTTTTATGAGTGGTTCTCAAATGGGCTACTAATTTAATTTACTCAAGACAGAGTTTGGAAACACTTCATGCTTTCCGATAGCTGCTTAATGTCCAATATTTTTTAGCAAAATTGGAATATGCTCAGAGTTAGCTATATGTCTTTGTGAATAAATGGGAGCTTTATATAGGAATATTGAACAATATAACACTATCTTATAATTTCTTTTTTAAATATTGCATAGATATGACTAAACATTTTTGTGCAACATATTTTTCATGCAAAACAATTGTGTTCCCATGGCTGGATTATAGACTAATTTATAGAGACTGTTTTTAATACCTTACTGTCAACCATAATTGCCAGAAAATAGATGCCTATTCTATTGATGGTTTATATAAGAACCTTCTTGGTCATTTTTACCATCATCACCCTCTTTTTTTTTTTTAACGCAGGTTCCTATCTAATCTTACAGGAGAACTGGTAGGTTTGCAACGGGGGCCTTGCAGTTACAAGGCCGTTCCACAACCCACTATGCCACCAGCTGCTATTTGCTCTACAGAGAGCAAACCATTCCTCCTCTTCATTTCAAGGAGCCAGAATACCCATGAACAACTGCTTCCTTCTGCAATGAGGCCAGAGAACTAGATGGGAGCTGGCTACTCTTACTGAACATTGTAATCAAAGATGTTATAGAAGAATTCTGATCAAAAGAGAGGAAATGCAGAACAGAGGATACAATTATCAGAGCATCCAAAATCCTGAAGCCCTGGAAGTTGGATGAGCTCCTGAAATAAATTTAAACTTTAAACTAAAGAAGTCATTTTAAATCTTAAGCCAAAGACATTATCTTAAAAACCAAATAATAGTTTAGGTTAATTAATGAAGATGTCTCCCTTAAGCATTGTGCTCTTTGAAGATCTACCCATGAAACTGACAACAGCAACTTGCAAGATAGACAGGTCCCTTGGCAAGCTGAGGTTAATGAGAGCAGTGGCTCAGCAAAGAAGGCGGGGTAAGTGGGATTGCACAACTAGAAGATCATCAACGCCGCTGAGCTGCACATGAAAAACTAGTATATGGGTTTGCTGGATATATGCTCAACAACAAAAATTATTTTTTAAAAAGCAAGTCATTAGCTTCTGTTATCATTTTCACCTGATCTATTAGAATATCCCTGATACAAACAAGTTGATAATGATAGAAAATAAGTGGCTAAAAACTTACTAACAATGTCTAATTTAAAACATGGGCTAGCCTAGACTACAGAATGTAATGGACCTAATTATTCCAAGTTTCCAAGCACCTTTTTGGAATTGGGTATCATATAACATGAGAACAAAAATAGCAAACTATGGGAGATTCAGATATTTTTGCTCTAAATATCTGTTCCCACATGACATCTGAGTACTTGTTTATACTTCACTGTCATACAGTCTAGGATGCTTAGTAGTGTAGTGGTTATGTGTTGGGCTGCTAACCACAAGGTCAGCACTTTGAAATCACCAGCTGCTTGATGGGAGAAAGATGAGGCTTTCTACTCCTATAAAGAGTTACACAAGGGCTCAAGTTGAAAGAAAAGGTTTTGGAAATGTTGATGGCAACATATGTACAAGTATGATTAATACAATTGAATGATGGGTTGTCATAAGATTTTTAAGAGCCCTCCAATAAAATGAATAAATAAATAAATACGTATATTTTTCAAAAGAGTTACAGACTTGGAAACTCACAGAAGTTCTGCCCTGTCCTATAGGGTTGCCTAGACTTGGCAGTAAGTTTGGGGCAGTAAGGTTATATCCAATATAAGTAATCTGAAGAGAGTTGTATTTCGTTTTTGTGATATGCCCTGGGATAAATCTAAAATCAAAAAGCAGCAAAGCTGTCATTCATGAGTACTCAAGAATGTGACATCCGAAGTATGAAAATAAGTCAAAATATAATGCCAATAAGGTTCCAGTTCATACACGCGCAGCTTTATTCCAAATAACACGTTTCAAGCTTTTATCTGTGGTCAGTGGATGGGTGTGGGTGGACAAGTTCTCTCAGTAATACACTTGTCTTTGCCTCCTTAAGGTACCTTCGAAACAAAGGTCCAATCAAATCAACAGCTTCTGAGGGCCAACAGTTCAATTCAGAACGGGGTCAGTTCAATTCTGCTCAGAAGGTTGTCATCCAATGGGATAATCTTTTTATTATTATTATTAAATACCTTTAGTGGGGGCTCTTAACAGGTCTTATCACAATCCATACATTCATCCATTGTGGCAAGCACATTTGTATATATGTTGCCATCACCATTTTCAAAGCATTTTCTTTCCACTTGAGTCCTTGATATCAGCTCCTCATTTTTCTCTATCCCTCCCCAACTCACAGCAACTCTGTGATAGTTAAGGCTCTATGTCTACTTGGCTGGGATGAAATACTCAATAGTTTGGCAGTTAAGACCTAGTGTGTCCCAACAAAGTATAATGAGTCCATAATGGGATTGTCTATAAGCAGCCAACTAGTTGTAGGATTAGGGTGGGATACAACATTCATACTCAAGTCACACCCTGATGAAATCAATTAAAAGAAAGTGTCCTCAGGGGGATGGCCTGTTTCCAAGATAAGTGGATACTGTGGAAAAGCTCACTTGCTTTTTACGGGACCTGATTTTGCCTAGAGCTCTATAAACCTCCAGTTCTATACACTTGAGTCAATAGTTGTGCCTGCTGATCCTGGGAGTGATTCGTAAGTGGCTAGACAGCTGAGCTGCTGGCCTTAAATTCATTTACTTCAACAGTCATAAGGCTGACCTGCGCACCTTGCCTCTGCAGTTACCAGTCAGTCATTTTCCCAACTGGACAGCTAGGATTCGGGAGAAACCTCCAGTCTAACATCTGACCCATGGACAGACTTGGACTTCCCCACTTCTATAACTATGTAGGTCATTTTATTGAAATAATTCTTAAAATATATATAAATATGTGTCACTGGTTTTGCTTCTCCAACAAACCTAACTTAAGATAGACCCTATATAGGGATTCTGAGGCCGTAAATCTTTACAGAAGCAAAAAAGCCTCATCTTTCTCCTATGGAGCAACTGGTAAGTTTGAACCACTGACCTTGCAGTTAGCGGCCAACACTCACCCCAAAGCACCACCAGAGATCCTTTCAGAAGTGTATTCGATTACTTCAAAGCTTCTCAAACAGCCAACTAAGATGCTCCCCATCAGAGTTAAGAAAATTAAAGACTTGGAAAAAATTTAGACCAAAGGACTAATGGACTACTCAAACCTCAGGCTCCACCACCCTGAGACCAGAAGAACTAAATGGTGCTCAGCTACCATTGTGCCTGCTCTGAAAGGAATCTGACTAGGAGGTCAGGTAGAATAGGAATAGGAATCATATAGAATGGGAGAAAAATGTGCAACAATACTCAAAATTACTAAAAAAAAACAACCAAAAAAACAAAACAAACAGGCTTACTGGTCTAATAGAGTTTGGTAGAACCCTGAGGCAATGGCCTCTTCAGCTCAGCAACTGAACTCAACTCTATGGCTCAATTTTCAGCCAAACAATAGACAGGCCTAAAAGGTATACAACAATACCAGGGAGTTAAGTGCTCCTTGGAACAATCATCCACATGGTAAGCCCAGGAAGAAAGTGGGAAGTGCTTTTATATTAGAGGAACTGCAATCAATGTCATGAAACAAAATCTCTATGAATTGCTAAATGAAAATCCAATTTTTTCTGTAAATCTTCACTCAAACCAAAATAAAAAGTTGTATTTTTTAAGTCTATAGACTTTGGTGGAGGATATATCAAGAAACAATAGCTTCATATTTTGATATTTTAATAAGGATAATTGTTATTTTACAGTAATATTTTTCTGCTTACCCTCATGTTGGAAAAGATATGGACATTGTAAACTTCTTTAACTTACAACTTAATACAATAAAATGACAATGTATAAATCCTAATTAAATAAAAACATTCAACTTATTAGTATATCACTTGATCATTCTAACTAATTGAGATGCATGTTGATAATGTTATAAAATATACAACTTCAATGTTCTGTTTTTATAATTGATGTATGTATTGTTATAAGAGCTATAAGAGCACCCAATAAAATGATCTTTTTAAAAAATTCTGTTTTTAATTAAGATATTTAATTTTTTTTACAAATTTAAATACTGCCGAACCAGTTACTGATTTCTTTCATCGCTCTTCAGTTTAGAAAACATTAAGCATAATTAATTTTTTAATTTAATAATTACCTAAGTCACTTATCGAACCCGCAATGTCCACCTTCGGTAATTCCACAACCACCTAAAATCAGAACATCAGTAATGAGTATCAATATATTTTATAATTTGAAACAATCTAAGAAAATCAGAGCTCTAATTAAGATAATGTGCTACACTGCTATTACTTAGTTCTCAAAGTTGAATTGCTTCAGAAAAAAACCTGATTAACTGTTAGAACGGGAATGAAAAGAAAGCGGATCCAGAGTGTGGGTTTTAATTAATAGGTTTATTAGAGTTAAGGACGTGCCCGGGTGTTTAGAATGGAATGAGAGTAAAGGGGACAGGAGCAGGGGAGTTTGGAAGATAGAGTAAAGAGAGAATAGCGGGAAGCCAAGAAAGGGAGAGTAGGGAGAAGAGACAGAGGGACAGAGGTATGGCCACACGAGAAGGTAAAGAGAGTCAGAGAGAGAGAGAGAATACGAACAAAGGAACCCGATTAACAAATTTTGGGACAGAAATCAGTTATCGCGTCTAAAAGGGGCCCACACTTCTCCCCATTGGCTGTGGCACCAGCACAAAGGTGAGGAGTAGGGGGTAAGGTTTCTGTGAGACCTTTAGAGAAGGTGAGGTGTCACCTTAAGCTAGGTGGGGATAGAGAAGGGGTTAAAGATGCTGGCTAAGGCTGGGAACCGTAGTGTTACTGCTGGACCCTTTAATAACTAACTTTAGAACTGACATTTTAATGTTATTAATTTTTTATTAATAATATTTTTAATCTCTTTAAAGTCTTCCACTCAGTGACTTCAATAGCCAGAGGAATTCTTCCTAATAGTATTCTTTAGCCCTGACATTATGTGCAAATTTAAATTCCCCAAATCCACCAAACATAAAATTTTGTATGCCCCTATTATGTGCACAAATTAATAACTCCAGTGTTTGCTCTTGATTTAGAATTGACCTGTTCTCTTCTTCTTGCAGCCTGTTCCCTCCAATTCAGCATTTATCACCTACCCAAATTAGTCAAAAGCTAACTGATCAAAAGAGTTCATGTATTTAATTCAGTGCTTCTTTTTCATGTACAAATACTTTGAATCGCATCTTTACTTACCCATACATTAAGAACTCCACTTTCATCCAACGAAGCAATGTGAAATGACAAACCTGATGTTTCTAATGTAATCAGGAGGAAAAAATTGAAAAACATTTTAAAAATACCACAATTCATAATGATTGACTCAAGGAGTCTTAAAAATGGTGACACAACTATTTACCTTCTTGAGTAGAAAAAGGAGAAAGCACAAAGTTCTGTTTTTTGCAGACAGATGTTGAGACAGGTTCTATCGCTTGAAGAGGACTTTGGTGGTTTACTGATGTAAGGACACCATCTATAATTTTAAAATACAACAACACCCACGTGAAAGTAATACAGCACTGAAGTAAAATTTAGTGCCTGAATGGGCAGACAGAAAGGTGTTGCTGGGTTTGAGGAACAACAGCTGCCACCTGTACCCCAATCTCTCCACGTAACCTCCCCTAACTCCACCAGCCAAATAAAGAACATGAGTAACTGGTAAGTGATGATCCCTTTCACCATTACTAGGAAACAGAGAAGACCACAAACCTCAAGATGCCTGTAAAAAGATTAAAAAACACCAGCTTCCAATAAAGCTGCCACGATTGCTGTCGTATGGAGGAGAAGGGAGGGAACACTTGGACTCTCCATGCCTTAAGAACACTCAGACCAAACCATCCCCAGAGAGGTAAGTCCAACTGGCAATGAAAGACCACTGAACACAAGTCTGGGCTGGGTAGATCATTAATCAGCTATCGGGAAACCTACCCACTGTAAGCAAGGCAATTCCAACTCATTGTAACCCTATAAGGGGCTTCTGAAGCCCTTCGTCTGTACAGGAGCAGACAATCTCATATTTCTCTTCTGGAGAAGTTGATGGATTTGAACCACCAGACTGTGGCTAAAATTACAGGGCACATTTGACAGCACCACCAGAGAAGGGATTGGAAAATGAAAGGGAAATAATAAACCTAATGTTTCTAATGTAAATAGGGGACTTACAGAAAAGATGTACAACTGTGGTTCTCAACCTGTGGGTCGTGACCCCTTTGGGGGGTCAAACAACCCTTTCACAGGGGTCGCCTAAGACCATTGGAAAACATATTTCACAATATATAATTACATATTGTTTTGTGATTAATCACTATGTTTCAAGTATGTTTAATTATGTTCAATTTTAATGATATCAGATATTTACATTACGATTCATAACAGTAGCAAAATGACAGTTATGAAGTAGGAATGAAAATAATTTTGGGGGGTCACCACAACATGAGGAACTATATTAAAGGGTCGTGGCATTAGGAAGGTTGAGAACCACTGATGTACAGAGATGCAACTATTTTTTCAAAACCACTAATTGTCACACATTATGGATTACAAAGATATAAATATAATCCAAACTGAAGAGAAGAGGTACCATCAGCTGTGATCTTAATTAGATTAGAAGAGGAAAAACTACAGAAAATATTTTTACTAGCTACTAGGAAGCAGGGAGCCCTGGTAGCATAGTGGTTACATGTTGAGCTCCTAGCCATAATGTCAGCCTTTCAAAACCACCAGCTGGGAGGAAAGGTGAGGCTTTCTCCTCCAGTGAAGAGTTACAGTCTCAGAAACCCCCAGGGACAGTTCTACTCTATCCTATAGAGTGGCTATGAGTCAGAATTTACTTGATGGCAATGAGTTTGGAGTTTGAACTAGAAAAGATAGCAACTAAGGGGCGTTATTGTAAGTGTGTAGTAGGGTATTCCCATCTATGGCTTTCAATAAGCCAAGCATGGGGGAAGTAGCTGTCACTTTTCAACACTGGTTCTCAGTTGGGAATGAGTTTGCCCTTCTGTAAACAGGGGATACTTGGCAATGCCTAGAAATATTTTTGGTTGTCACAATTCAGTGGAGGGTGCTACTGACACTGTACAATACATAGGACAGCCTGCATAATAAAGAATTATCTGGACCAAAATGTCAATCGCACCACTGTTGAAAACCCTGCTTTACAGAAATGTCCTCAGAGCAAAAGCAAACACTTGTTTGCATCATATGCCTTCCCTCCCCTGCCCCTTTTACATAAGACTGTAGAAATGTGAAGAAAACCAGACAGAGGATATGCATCTGGAATGTGGGGAAGGGAAGGGGTAGGGCAGGGCTAATGAGCAGGGGGAAAGTGCCAGAGAACAATGGAGATCAGGGGGAAAGTCTGTCCAGTGGACTCCCTAGCCTGTGCCCATTCTGGTCAGCATGACCACAGCTACCACCAAAGAGAGGCATGGCAGCACAGAGTAGCAGACTAGAGCAGGGTTACAAGTGTGATTCTGGAGTCAGACAGACCCATTCTGAATGCAGGCTCTCTGCCATCAAGCAGCTGAGATGACCGTGTACAAATTCACTCTTCTGCAACCTCATATGAGAAAAGTATTAACAGTAGTAAGTAGTATTGTAGGACTAGGGAAGAAAGGCTGAGCTGCTAACAATACGGTCTGTACTCTACGTGAGAAAGATGAGGCTGTCTGCTCCCTATAATGACTCATAGTCTCAGAAGCGCTGAGTCAGAATGGACTGGATGGCAGTGGGTTTACTAATGCTAGTGGTGGCACAGGGGGGGGGGGCTATTAAAAAATTAAGTGAGATTTATACACACAAAACATTTATTATAAAAGGCCCTAGAAGACAGGACATGCTTACTAAATAGTTGTTGCTATGTCAAATATTTTATGACATAAACTATTCACCAGAAGCAAATTAAGGGCTAGGCATTCTGGTCCATTTCACACCTGCAAGAGGAATCTGATTTATTTGCTGCTTCAAGTGCTAGGTGAGATAACTATGCTAAGGTCACACACTCATACTGCTATACCTTAAACAATGTAATTTAAAGCTAAAAGCACAGGAGGAAAGGAGATGGCAGACTAGGCAGATATACTACCAGGATCCTCTATAACAAAGAGTTGAGGGATCGAATGACACAGATGTGGATGGCAATCCTGGAACCCAGAACTTTGAAGGAAGGATAAAGATCAAATACCAAAGAGAAGTAGGAGCCAATAAGGTGGCATCAACAACTGAAACGCATTGCCATTGGGTTGATTCCAACTCACAGCAATCCTGTACAATGAAGTAGAACTGCCGCTGGAGGTTTCCCAGGCATAAACCTTTGTAGGAGTAGAAAGCCTCATCTTTCTCCTGTTGAGAGGGCTGGTGGTTTCAAACTATTGACTTTAAGGTTAGTAGCCCAAAGGGGGTCCACAGACACCTACCAATAGGCCCACGTGGCCATGTTGAGTTCTTACAAGCAGCATTCTGATCAGAGCAGGAGCCAGATAACTAACCAGCTCAGTTTGCCCACACCAGCGATGATCCCACAGCAGTGATCAGCAAAGAGGTGTAATTGCCCCCTAAGTTTGCACAATACCCTTCAATGACAGTGCTGGGGTGTTGTTGTTGCTGTCTGTCTGATCTGTTTCCACCCCTCGAAGCCTGATTCCCCTTCCTGGACTAGCAGCAGCATCGGCCCACAGGCCCACACAATACCAGTAGCAACACACCGGCTCAGAACCAGCACATTCCCTACACGCCTGAGTGTTTGATGGCAGGCACTCCTGCCTCGACTGAGCTGCCATTTCCCCCTCCTCTTCTTAGTTTTTCCCTCTCCCCAACCCCACCCAGTTTTCCTTTCTTCTTCTTCCACATTTCCTCACCTCCCCTTTTTTCTCCCCCCACCTCAGAGGTCACCAGCACCCACCTCGGGCCACTCCATGAACACCCCTGCCCAATGCTTCCCACCACAGTCACATTTGGTAGCTAACACCACTAATGTGGACCGCTTCCACACCACTTTTGCTTGGTTTTCTTTCTTCTCAGTTCTTTCCTTCTTCCTCTTTGTTTTGTCTTTTTCCTGTGCTTTTTCCTTCCTCTCCCTTCCTCCTTTATCTTTAATGCTGCAGAGCTCCTGTCCTGCCTTGCCCCCACCCAGGTTTGAGCGCTAGCCACTGCGCCCCCACTGTGCCACTGTTTGCTGCTGTTTTCCCCTGTCTCTTTCTCATTTTTCTTTTTTCTTAGGTCTTCTTCCCACAACCACTTGTTTTATCCTTTTATTCTTTTTACTCTTTCCTTCCTCACCCATACCCCTTCTTTCCTTTTTCCACCACAATTGGGAGCTAGCAACACTACCCCGCCATTCCCACTCATAAAGTGCCACCACCACTTCAGAAACACTCGTTCCATGGCAGAAGGCGGGCAGCGCAGCAGTCGGTCCTCGGTAGCTCTCCACAGAGACCGGCCTAACAAGCCAGGCTTGCAATCCTTTTAAGAATCATCCTTATGGATCAAGAGAGTAGCATTTGCCCAGGGATAAAGCCCAGAGGGCAGGAAGGGATGGGAAAGGGCAAACAGAAATTAACAAACACCAAAAGGAAGAGGGAAGAGGACTGTTCACATTGTGGGGATTGCAGTCGATGTCACAAATCAAAATGGATATGGATCGTTGAATGGAAAATTTGCCTTGTAAACATTCAACCAAACAACAATAAAAAGTTTAAAAAGGAATAAAGTGTTTACAAAACAGAGTACATTGGAGAGATGACGCTAGGACGGCAGTTCTCAACCTGTGGGTGGCAACCCCTTTCCCTTTCACAGAGACACCGCTCCTCTATCTCAACCGTAGCACTGACATTGGCTTTTTACGCATACTGTCGCAAAATGTAGCAACGTACTTTACTGTTATATTAAGACTGTGACCCAAGCTACATTACATATTGTTTTTGTGATTAATCACTATGCTTTAATTATGTTCAATTTGTAACAATAAAATACATCCTGCATATCAGATTATTTACATTACCGTTCATAACAGTAGCAAAAAGACAGTTATGAAGTAGCAACGAAAATAATTTTATGATTGGGGGTCATCACAACATGAGGAACTGTACTAAAGGGTCGTGTATTAAAGGGAAGGTTGAGAACCACTGCTCTAGGAGATCGAAATGGTAAACCTGACTTGAACAGTTGAAACCTTGTCAGTTGAGCCTCGCCCACCCCCACCCCAACCCCCACCCCCACTTTACCTCCCAATACATGTGGTTGTTGGGCCTGATGTCGTTCTCAACATTTTCTGTGTTGTTGTTTTCTTCATATTGGGGTTTAGCTCTGATGTGTTTTGTCATTGGGAGTAGCCCTCTTGAATATTTGTTAAATGCTGTCTGTAGTAACCTAGCTTAACATGAGAAATGTCATTTTGTTTTCAAACTGCCTTTAACCCCTGCTAGCAGTGAGACAACCCCCCACCCCCCAACCTCCCTGCCCAATCTCCTCTTCCCCATCCCGGCTCTCGAGACAAGACATTGACTCTTCAGAGGTGTCTCCAAACTCTGTCTGCCCAGTTAGTAAGAAATGTACAGGATCTTATAAAACCTTGAATTAGCACCTGCAGCTATGCTGCTCCCCACAACCCCGTTACCCTGCCAACTTGATGGGTGTAGCGGCTAAAATATCCCTCCCATTCAGCCAGCCTCCTATTTTGGAACTATGAAAAGTTTGAAATTTCATTGTTCTGGATCGAGCGTTTTCCAGCTGTTTGATAAAGGCTTTAATTAGTAATAGAGTGTTGTGGTTGATCTCGCCTATTTATAGAGACAAGTAGAATAAGGGTCCTGGCAGGCACAACAGGGAAGGGTGGGGGGCGGGATCAAGGGGAGATGATATCAAGGAGCTCAAGAGGAAAGAGAATGTTTTGAAACTGTTTGTGGTAGCAATTGTACAATACTGCTTGACATGACTAAACTATGCAATAATATGATATCTATCTGTATTGCTCCCAAGAAAAAGATTTTGAAGGGAAGAAAGTTTTAAAAAGGAGAGTTATCTCGTCAATATTTTTTTAATCTATACTAAATAAGAAAATTAAAATTACTGTCACTGGATAAGCATTATCTGATGAATAGATTTTTGTTTAGTTTTGTTTTATCAAATGACTCCTTTGGCACTAGACATAGGTCAGATCTCCATTAGAATGCATCTGCTGACTGGATAAATACACATAAAGGTAAGGCTTTCCTAAAACCTGCCAGCACTTCTCTAGAGAATACTTAATAATATCATCAAAAGGTTAGCACTGACCGGTGGAAAATGTTGCTATCCGGAATGTCCAGAAACAATCATCTAGCTTTACATAATGATGAATCCTAGAGTCTTCTCTTAAATCCCACACAACTACAGAGCCATGTAGTGTTCCAGCAAACAGTAGAAATGCTGTGAAAGGGCTAAAACAGCAACATGTGACCTATAAAAAAACCACACATACAAAGAAATCAGATAACTGAAAAACACTAAACTGTGGTCAGTGTTACATTTTACTGAGTTTTGTATTTGATTCCTTTCCATTTGCACTTGTAGTCCTATTAAAGAAAGAAGCCCGGTAGTGCAATAGTTAAGCCCTCGGCTGCTTCAAACCCACCAAGAAGTTCTGTAAGAGAAAGACCGGGCGATCTGCTCTCACACAGAGTAATAAACATAGAGCGCCATCATCTATATAGCCATCTAATGTGATTCTGACTCATAGCGACCCTATAGGACAAAGCAGATCTGCTCCTTAGGACTCCCAAAGCTGTCATTCTTCATGGACGCAGACTACCAAATTCTTTCTCCTGTGAAGTTTGAACCACTGACCTTTCAGTTAGCAGCAGACCACTTAACCCCGGTGCCACAAAAGCCCCACATGAAGATTACAAGTTAGGAGACCCAATGGTGCCACTCTTCTCCCTTATATGGAGTTACTGTGAGTCATAAGTAAAGGACAGCACCTAACAGTAACATCAGCCCTTTAAACATTTTACCCTGGGAAGCTACATGACACAGTAACTTTATATCAAAAAATCTCAATTTCAAATCTTGGTTCTACCACTTAGGAGGTATGGGCGGAGAGGGGGAGGGAGGCAGGGGGTTCTTATCTGAGTGTCAATTTCCTCAAATGGAAAGTAGGGATAAAAAACATACTTTGTGGGATTGTTACAATCACAGATATAATGTGTAGAGCTCTGGAGGTATAGTGGATGGCTCACTGGGCTGCTAACCACAAGGCCTGTAGCTGCTTTGCAGAGAAAGAGGAGGCTTACTGCTCTTTATAAAGATGGAGGGTCTCAGAATCACCCAGGGATGCCCAAGCTTTAAAGGATGGCTATGAGTTAGAGCTGACTCAATAGCAGTGAGCTTGCAGGTTTGGGTTTTGGACAACACAGCATGGTACATAAAATGTGCTCAAGACATTTTTTAATTTATCTGAATTGGTGAAAGAATGATTTTATCTTTCCTCATGTTATTTATAGTACATAGCTGTGTGCTGTCCAGTTGGGTCTGACTCATTATGACTATAGAGAACGGAGTTGAATTGCCCTATGGGGTAGCTAGCTGTGATCTTTATAGGAGCAAATTTCAAGTGACTACTTTTTTTGAATTACCAATCTTTATGTTAGCAGTAGAGTTCTTCACCATTGCATTCTGGTCTCATTTATATTACAGTATCCTGAATTGCAAAACAAAATTGCTATTTGTCTAGCCATACAAAACTCACAACTGCAAAACTTAATGTTCTCTACAGCTTTAGTGAAAATGAAGTTTTTACAGAAGTCAAAAGCATATTAGTAGGAGAATACAAAGACATATCTTCCCAATTGATAAGGAAAGAGGAGTCCTCTTAGTATCTGTGTATTAATCAAATCACACCACCATTAATCTGGGAGCTGGGAGATGCACGTGTAGCCTTGGTGGCATAATGGGTTATCATGACCTGGACTGCTAACCTTAAAGTTAGCAGTTCAAAACCATTAGCCCCTCTGACGGAGAAAGCTGAGGTTTCCTACTCCCATGAAGATTGGCAGTCTTGGAAACCCACAGGGGCTGTTCCATGCTGTTCTAAAAGGACATTGGAAACAACTCTATGTCACTGAGTTTGTTTTTTTTCCCTTGAAAGAGAGATGCTGAATAAACAACAACAACAACCAAAAAAATCCCTGATTATATAAAACCTTTTTTTTTTAAGTTACGGCATATATTTTCTTAAATCACTAATATATTTAAGACCCAAACTGGGCAAGATAAATAATATACATCTAGAATCCCTGAACTTTGGAAAATTATTTTATTAAGCCTAACTAAATTGATTAAACCTGCTGCCATGGCGTCAATTCCGACTCAAAGTGGCCCTAGGACAAGTTAGAACTAACCTTTTAGGTTTCCAAGGCTGTAAATCTTTATTGCAGCAGAAAGCCTCATCTTTCTCCCAAAGAGCAGCTGGTGGATTCAAACTGCTGACCTTGTGGTTAGATGCTCAAGGCATAACCCAGTAAACCTCCACAGCTACATCCATTAACCAATTCTAAATTGACCTGAGAATTTGCTCTATGATAATCATGGTTTCCTCAATCAGGAACTAGGTAAGTTTATCTGAGTTGGTCTTCTGAACCAATACTTTCTAGAGCAGCGGTTCTCAACCTGTGGGTCTCGACCCCTTTGGTGGTTGAAAGACCCTTTCACAGGGTCGCCCGATTCATAACAGTAGCAAAATTACACTTATGAAGTAGCAACAAAAATAATTTTATAGTTGGGGGGTAGGGGGGTCACCACAACATAAAGAACTGTATTAAAGGGTTGCGGCATTAGGAAGGTTAAGAACCACTGTTCTAGAGGCAAAAGAAATGATACTGTGCATGCTTGTCACAAATGTAGCATTATCTAGTTAAAAGGCACTTTTTTTGAAGTCCTAACACTCTTCATCTGTGCCTATTCCCTTTCTCTCCTCTCTGTTCTTTGCACTTGTAAGTAGACCCCTGGCACCCCAGATTCCCATCCTTCCACTAAATATATGATTCTCCTTCTGAATTATACCTTTGAGTCACATATCAAAACCTTCTGTGGACTTGAAGGTTGCCAAATATCCCAGATACACAAGATATATCTCTGGTCCAATTGATCGGAGAATGTCTTTTCAGGTAAATCATGAACAGAAACCATAGTTTGCCTCTGAACTTGCGAGGCATGTAAACAGGATACTTTTCGATCTACAGAAAAAGTAAAAACATTTATTTCAGGGTCTGTGTTAAATTAATATTCCTAAGAACATTCAGATGCATTTCCCTTGATGAAAGAATAGATTGTGATGCTTTCAAAATTATGAATCTATGAAGTATGGTTTTGATAAATGGCTAGTATGTATTTGAAAGCACTGTCAGAGTTGGCCTTATGGCTTTACTAAAAAAACATATCCTTCAATTTGGGTAGCAATGCCACCCAAGAAAATATGCTTTCCCTTCTGTCTCCTCACTATTCACACAAAGACTACATTTCCTGCACATGTGTTTTGGAGTCAAAATTTTAGAGCTAGACACACACTGGAAATAATTGGATTCGATCCCTTTGCTTTCATACATTGTTAGGACACTAGTGTGAGGAAATTCAATTTCCTTTAAAATGGTCTTCAGAGTATCAAGGTACATGCATCATTTAAATATTAGAGACAGCTGAATTCAGTTATAAAGCTGTTATTCAATTATGGTGAAGGGACTAAATCCCGCAAATATTGCTGGCAATATTTGCGTTGCCCAACAATTCCTACAGCTCAACAGATGATACTGATTAAACTGTTAAAATAGAACTTACAATCAGTGGCTGTTTTGTGTTTTTTAGTCAAAGAACAGTTCTAAGAGTACTGCTAATTTAAAGACTTCCAGCTGCAAATGTCAGCAAGTTGGAAACAAAAAGCAACTGTGTCCTAAAAGGTATAGAATTCCTGAGTGAGGGATCTGTAAATTCAAGGAGTCTTAAAGACCACACAAAATAAGTTCCCTCTGAAACAGTTTTGGCTTGGTCAGACTTGGCTTTTGCTCCATTGTTCATCAGGGAAGTACAAATTAAAATCACAACAAGATAATATTATATCCTATTAGAATGGTTAAACATTTTTAACTTGACTCATTGGGCATTGGTGAAGACATTGAGCAGCTAAAATCTATACTGCAGATAAAAAGTATACAATGGTGCAGTTTCTCAAAAATTATCTAACACCAACCACATTATTTTATTTATGCATTTGACTCCTAGGTAGCTAGGCAAAAGAAAGCATATGTCCATGCGAAGACATAGATGTGAATGTGCATAGCAGCTTCTTCATATTAGGTATGAAGAAACATAGGTAACAATATTTTTTTAATTATGATATATCTATTCAAAGTGTAAGCTAGTAATATATGCAACAGCACGGATCAATATCATTATCATTCTGAATGAGAAGAAATCAGATGCAAACGCTCACATATGAGCAGGCTTTTAAAAGCTTATGGGAAAAGATCCAGTTATGTAAAATTTTACAAAGTACAAACTAATATGTAGCAACAAAAAGCAGGGCTTCCTGGGCCTTGGGAGCAAAGGACCAGCAAGAATCTTCTGAGAATCATGACTTGTGCATCTTCACTGATTATGTTCACATAGGTCCAAATTTATCAAATTGTATAGTTTAAATGTTTGAAGTTTATGGTACATTAACAAAGCTTCAGCAAAGTCTCAATGTATGCAGAAAAAGGTGTTTCATTGAGAACAAACATTAGCTCCCACATGCTAAATTTAATAGATAACTTCTTCTCTAGAATAAATCTTCCCAATTTCTTCACTCATCTGCAAAACAACAGGGTTAAAGGAGCAACTTCTACTTCTACCTGTTACTGATGAAAATGTGGGACTGTACTTAACTTTTTCTGATGGCGGGTAAAAATGTAGTTGGGTAAATCCCCAGCCTTGGATTCAAGCTTATTGTGAGCATGAAAGTCCATAGTGCAATACCATTTTGCCAGCAGTCCAAATCTTTGGTTTCCCAATTCAGAGTAAAACCAAACACAGTTCTTCTAAAATTTGGAAATACAGCTTCTTCTAAAATTTGGAAATACAGCTTCCACTCCTTGAAATAATCTCAATTAAAAGGCTATTTTTGCACACATTTTAAGGAAAAAACTAACCATTTAACCATTCACCTTTGAGTTCTGAAGAAACCAAGTCTCCCCTCTGTTTTATATGCAATAAGCTCACCATATTAATACAGAAGGAAATGTTAGAGATTATTTCTGCAACATAACAGTTTAGTAGATAGGGGAGACACACATGCAAGGAAGTCTCTTACTTCGAAGGAATGGCAGGCTAGTGTTCAACTGAGAGGAACTGTCACTAAAAAGAAGGGTGTTCTCTTGGGCCTTGATGTTCCAACCAGGTGCTGCTGCCACACGATCCTCTTCAAGCAAAACAGCAATCACCTTTTAAATATAAGTGATGATTCTTTAATCAAACATTTCAAAATCTATCATCTTTTCAAAAATATGATCCTTTTGTCCATTTCTCCAAGTAACTAACTGCATAACTATATAAAGACATATCTTGAGAACGGAATATTCACTTGCTTTGTAAACTTTCCCAAATACAATAATATGTAAATAAGAGATCATAGTGTTCCTTCTGCATAATAGTAATGATCGATAGATAAAGTTCTGAGAAACAAAGAATCCACAGGAGAGCCATGATTGAGTGCCAGACATCAATTTTCATTTAAATGTTGTTACAAAATCAGAGGAAAAGAGGGTTAAGCACCAACTGTCTTTAATTAAATAAAGGAAGTATCAAGTACATCCCATCTCTGTTGTTCTCACTGAGCAAAAATCAAAAGTAAACTGAAAACCACTATCTATGAGCTAGCACATTGATTTTTAGAATGGTAGCATTGGTAATGGAAAAAAATATATACATCTAGAAGAAATCCTTAATGAGACGTCAACAAGAGTTGATGGAAGAATGACTGCCGAGGGAAGTGGAGCTTGTTACATGGGGTATCCTGGCTCCACCCTGACCTTGGGTCTATTCTCACTTCATGTCCTGTCTCTCTGCCTCCTGTCACAACCTACCTTTCCCAGACTTCTCAGCCTGGAGCCAGGGCTCTCTCTTCTTAGTGCCTCATTCACTTACACTAAAGCAGAAGCAGATAAAATATTTTTTAAATGTTACAGCGAGGAATTATCCTCTTTCATAAACCACATCATTCCTATAGAATAACAGCACTGAGAAAGAATTTATCTGCGCTAGTGACCAATACAAATAGAGGTCCGATTTTTTGAGAAACTGGCTTTTTCCAAGTTCATATATCATGGTTTAACTGTGTTCTATATTTATTGACACTTTAAATTCTGAGTTTCCGTTAAAAAATAATTAACAATTGACAAATTTAAACACTAACATTATAGTTGATGATATTAAAAAGCTATTACTAACTTTGAGTCCTTTTCTTTCAAAGATCATGCTGAAACAGTACAGAGGAAATAATAGGATGGTTGGGATTTGTGTCAAACTGAAGGGATGGTAGGGTGAGGGTGAGGGTGAAGGTCAGGGTGTGTCTGTAAGGATGGGGCAACGATGAAACAAAACCGGTCCTCAGTTGACAGTTATTGAAATGATGCTACGCACTGAGTACACAGGAATCCATTACACCATTCCTGTCAGATGTTTAGAAAAGTGCCATGACCAGTTTCAGCAATCCTGAATTCCTTTGTTTCTCATACTCTAGATGTATCCTTGCTTTGCCAATTTAACATGCTCAGTTTGTTTTAGCCTATATTTATCTTTAAACATAGCAATTAATATTACAATGCATAAAATTCAATGATGTTACTATCTTTGATGTGCATTTACGTGGTGTCATTTTGCACACAAGGGCTTAATGAATGTGCCGATAGTTTATTAAAAATAATAATATTTAAAGTGAAAAACGGATTCTGTTTATCCAAGCATACAAAGGTCCTAATATTTCAGTAGCTCCTTTATTTCAATGTATAATACTTTAAGCACTTATCCGTAAAATACAACATAGAACATAGAATATACCTGACAAGCAGCTCGGAGAAAGTTAGATAATCTGGGTGTATCAATCTTTGGTATAATTGTAGCATCAGAGATCTCTTTATTTTCACTACCTTAAAAGAAAAGTTACATAAAATCAACAATATGAAGTCTGTAAAACTATATGTAACATATGCACCTTAGAGCTCAAAGAGGTGTGATAAATGAATGTTAAAAACTAAAGAAAATGTCAGAAAAATTTACATTTTATTCCCCAGATCCACTAGTGATATTTTCCTAGTTCCTAAAAACAGTGATATCTTGTTTTGTACTGTCATAAACTGAACATATTAGAGAAAATAGTTAAAGGGATCATGATTACCCACATATGTCAAACTTAAATATAAGTCTATTATTTCCTTAAAGTAAGGCCTGCCTGAGCAAAGGGAGCAGCATCCCTGCCTTAGTGCGCTCATTCCTCATGTAAAAAAATTTAAAAACCACTAGAAAACGAAGCATTTAAAAACTAGATAAAAGTATTTGATAGAGTTCTCTGCATTCTGAGAAACTTCCATCTATATTGGTAACACAAATTTTGAGACTGTAATTAAAATGTGAAAATCCTATACTTAATGAGAACAGACTATCCCCAAATTAAGAACAGAGTGTGTTACAACAGTCCATGTGTAAAGTGGTTGCTTGACAGGGAGAATCTTTTCCTTTTATGATTACAAATAAAAATTTTACAAACAACCAAAAACATTACAAATCATAGTCAGAGGCCCAGACCACACTTCAAATGCTGATCTAATGCCTCCTGTATTTCAATAGTTTTAATATGAAGCCTACTCAATGGGCCCGCCAATCAGGGATCATTGTGAAAGCCCCTTGAAGATATATCAAGGTGATTCAAGAGAAGAGGGCTGGGGAGGCAGGGTGCAGGAGGGCTCTGGTGGCAGGGGCACAGGCTGCCAGGCTATGTGTACATCCAGCCTCCTGACAACAAGAGTGCCTATTTCATTTTAAATGTTAATTAAGCTGATCTTAACTCTACGCCTAATATGTTGGCTGTTTTAAGGCAATCACTTTATCAGTATGCCAGCACAGAGTTAGAGGGTTAAGTCATACATTAAAATAATATCATACTCTGGGCACATTTTTCAATGGAATATTCTGACATAGCCAAGTGCATGAATATGCCCTTAAAAATAAACCTAAAATTTTGATGCCTGTAGTTATAATAGTTAAAAATGGAATTTTTTATTTATGAACGATATAGAGGAAAATAAAGAATGAAGAGGAAAAAGCATCAAATAATTAGTGTATCTGGTTTGTATATTTAAAAAAAGGAAAATGCTTGTGGGTATATGCACACACATGGAGTAAGTCAAAAAGTATTGCAACAAAATTATGGAAACATTTATTAAACAAAAATATCAAAATGTGAAGCTATCATTTCCCCATATAAATTCCACATCATATATACAGTTCTGAAGGCAATGTTTCCTTCTCTCTAATCCTTCCCCACAAAGAATTCTGTACTCTGTGATTTATACTACACTCAAATGGCAGTTTGGGGATCCTCGGGGGATTCAAATAGTGTTCCTTTTAAATGTTCTCTGAGTTTGGGGAACCAAAAAAAGAAGAAGTCTCAAGGGGCAAAATGCGAGCTGTAGGGCAAGTGGAGTAAGTTTTCCCAAAGAAATCAGCATAGGACAGCCCTGGCTATGCTCAAGGAGCGAGCAGGTGCATTGTCATGCTGGGGAAAACAATTCCTCAGCACATTTCTGATCTTTCACCTATGCAGTTTTCAGCTTTTTTGAAGCTTCTTCCCAATAAACCCCATGATTGGCCTATGTCCTTCAAGAAAATCTATCAAGATGACCCCTTGGCAATTCAAAAAATATAGTTTCTATCCCCTCTGTGCTGCTCAATGTGCCTTGAAGGGAATTGGCCCACCCTTTCAATTAGACCTTTTCTGCAAGCACCCTAACGAGGCTAGGACAAATGTATCACAGAGAGAACTTGTCTTCAGCCATCCACTAATAACAGACATGTTTAAACATGTTTGTGAGGAATAAACTTGTGAATGTATGAACTAGAACTCCAGTAAAAATACTTTTTTACTTACCCTTGTATTCATACATACATAGAACTTCGTTTCTAATTCACCACAGTAGTGAAGTTCAAGGAAATTAAAACACTTCTAATTATGTTAAATTATCCTCGAAAAGAAGATTGGGTATTCTCATTCTCATATACTAGTAACCACATCAAAAAAGATGTAATGAAAAAGAACAGAAAAATATAATAAAGGGAGGGAAAAAAAACAAACAAGACCAAGAGCAAAGAAATGTTTACCTCCAGATACAATAGCACTTTCTCCTGGATGCTGGGTCCATACTTCCCTAGTCTCTATTTCTTCTGTCTGAATGTCCCTTTCAACATTATCTTCATTGTACTGAACATATGCCTTTAAAACAAAACAAAGGCATGTTGCTCACCAATGGTCTTTTATCAGCAAAGTGAAAAGACAACCCACAAATCTGGAGATAATTTGGGGGAATGAATTGTACAACTGATATGCAGAAGACAAAGAAATCCTACAACTTAACAATAAAAAGACAAAAAATAATGGACGAAAGACTTGAACAGGCATTTCATCACAGAGGCTAACAATGTGCTGTTGCTTGGTGTCATCAGGTTGGTTCTGACTCATGATGGCTGATGTGATGGAACAAAAGTGCCCAATAGGATTTCACTGGCCATTCTCCTGTGGAGCTGATAGTGGATGGGCTGGCATTTTGGTTAGCTCCACCAGTATGGCTGCTTCATTAGCCATTAGCCTTCATTAGCCATAACTAAGGTGACCAGATTTAAAGCGGGACACCGTTGACTGGGGTGTTCTTGATTAAAAATTTGGTCTAGCTTGTCGTGCATTCTTTCCAAAAATCGGGACTTTTTTAAAACGCCAAAAATCGGGACTGTCCCGCCAAAAGCGGGACATCTGGTCAGCTTACATAAACCCTACTTCTTGTCACTGGATGGATTCCAACTGAGAGGAACCCCCAGAAGACAAAAGAATTGTCCTAGGTAGTTTTTCAGGCTATCAATTTTACAGGAGTAAAAAGCCTCATCTTTTTCCCTTGAAGAAGCTTGAGGTTTTGAACTGCTAACCTGGTAGTTAGTAGCCCAACCCGTAACCCACTATGCCACCAAAGCTCCTTTGTTGTTGCTGTTAGGTGCCATCAAGTTGGCTCTGACTGTGAGTGACCCTATCTCCTTAAGGGAGATACAACTCAAAACCACAGTATGATAATGTCCCCATCCCCACTAGCATAGCTATGGTTTATTACTGTTATTATTTTAGTAAAATAACAGTTGTTAGTGAGATGTAGAGAAATCAAAACCACATCCATTGCTGGTAGAAATACAAATTAGTTCAGCCAATCTGGAAAACAAGCTGACAGCTCCTCACAGAGCTGAACATCGAACTACTGTAGGATCCAATCCTGAGCACTTGCCCAGAAGAGCTGCAATCAGAAATGCACACAGAAATCTGCATAGGAACTTCACTGAAACACTGTTCACAGTAGCCCAAAATGGCAAACAACTAAAATGCCCATCTACAATGACTAGATATACAAAAGATGGCATACACACACAATGGAATAGTATTCAGCCATAGGAGATATAAACATGCCACAACATGAATAAACCTTAAAAACATTAAAAAGAAAGAAACCTGCTGCCATGAAGTCAGTGCTGATTCATAGCAAGTTCCTGTGGGTTTCAGAGGCTGTAACTGTTTACAAGAGTAGAAAGTCCAGTCTTTCTCCCAAGGAGCTGCTGGTGGCTTCCAACTGCTGACCAGTTAGATGGCAGCCCAATGCATAACCACTACACCACCAGGGCTCCTTTTAAGAACAGTAAGCTGGGTGAAATAAGTCAGGCAGAAAAGGGCAAATCCTATATGATCTCACTGATATGAAACAGGCAAATATATAGAAAATAAAACAGTGATTACCAGGGCTGGGAGAAGAGTAGAAAGGGATTTTATTGCTTAGAAGTACTGAGTTTCTATTAATAGTAGAATAATTTTAAAAATAATGGTAATGGCTAGATAAAATTAAGACTGTAATAAATGTCATTGAATGATACATGTAAAAAGTAGTGAATTGACAAATATTTTCTTAGATTTTACCTCAATTTCTAAAAGTATAAATGTAAATGGTAAATAATGTTTGGTAATAAATTCAGAACAATTTTTCTTTAGTGAAATAACAAAAAAAGTAAAGTTAATAATGATAATCTTCTTGGTGGCAATAAAAATAAGTATTATGACAAATAAAAATTATACAAAGACTTTCAGTATCTTAAATGTTAGATAGATATGGGATCTGATTTCCAAAAGTGCTTTCAAAGTATTATCAAACAATTTCTACCCACACCCTAGCCTCTTAGAACATACTGATTTAGTAAAAATCAAACCACAATTGTTTTGCTTTTCAAAAGGGTACATTCCTTTTTTTTCCCCCAATAAAAATTTTCTTATGTAATATGATACAAATGAGCAGTATTTTTAATATGGAAATTGTATCTCCATGAAGAAGATATTTAGTAACAAATCTGATTACACCACCCCAGAAACTTCTTAAAGTTGTATGAGTCAGGCATTTACAAGAAATGTCACTAAGAGTTAGCCATCTGAAGGTCAATTCCCAGTCTGCACCTCCTACTTTAAAAGTTGCTCAAACAGAGCTGCCCCAACAGACTTCATCACATTTATTGGTCTTACACTTGGCTTTTAAAAGACTAATTAGCAGGAGGATCAAAATACATGACTGAAGTAGCGATATTAGCAAGAGACATTTCTATTGGCACAGAAGATATAAACGGATACCTCCCAAAACATTGGTGTGTATTTGACAAGATGGATCAGCCACACATTCAGGACACTGGTAGCAATAATACTTCAACACTTAGATGGAGAATCTGGATTAACTATCGATATCCCAACCTTCCTTCGTTCTCCTGTCTCATGCCACTTTAAAGTTTTATGCTGACATTCCATTCTTAAATAAAGAAAGCTTTCTTACTAAGGGCTTTGAGATGAGGAAGCAAGCAAGGTCACAGAGTGAGTCAGCTGCAAAGCCAGGATTAAAACTGTCAGCTTCTTGAGTTTCGTGCTGTCACCCTCTTCCAATTAAAAGAGTATTATTTATTGACTATATTTAACATATCAGGTTAAGAGTGGTGCTACTCACTATCAGAGACATTAAAAAAATAAAACACTGCCATTAGTCCATTCTGACTCACAACAACCCTATTCACAGAGTGGAACTGCCCCTGTGGGTTTCTAAGACTGTAAACCTTTGTGGAAATAGGAAGCCTCCTCTTTCTCCCAAGGTGATAGTGGTCAGCTCCAAATAAAATGTAAAACATGATTCCCGACTTCAAAACACCATCCAGCCTTGTTGGGACGTTGGACTAACTTGATAGGGACATATAAAATGGCAAGGGATGACTTGTATCAACTATGGAATAAAAGACAAAATTCAACATGAAGTCATTAGGAAGGATTCACAATGAGAACAGGCCTGAGCCTTTGAAGAGCAGCTAGGTAAGTAGATAGACGAGAGCAGGAAAGCTTAAGTTTGCACACTGAGAGAGCTCAGCGAGAGAAACAAGTTAGAAAAAGAAACAAGATGTGATTTCAGATACTACAGTAGATCCAGAATTGGGAGAGATCTGGAATATAATAATAACAGCAATCGTTACATATAAAATGTTAACTGATCCTGGAATTATGTAAGAAGTCTATACAGATGAGTACAAATGCTACATCCTCACCAGAAACCCAAATAAAAAAATCTAAAAATCTGACATTCTGTTTGACCTTAAATAAAGCATAAAGTTGTATTCAAATGTTAGAAATATAGCCCTCCCACCTATAGATCATGTTTTGATGGTTCATTTATCAAAGGTTCTAAATGCTTTTAGAAAATCTTTGTAGATTTCTTATTTCCATAATCTCTTTGGGTTAATGTGATGAAAAGATGCCCCCACCAGCCACCCACCGCCCAGGCCCTTCCCCCTCCACACACTTGCCTTTTTCAGGCTTTATCCTTCATAGACCATTCCCAAACTCAAATATTATGGAAGAACATACATTTAAGCATATATTTGCTTTATTACATTTTTGTTGCATTTTATCACTTGGTTAATAAATTTTGCACTAACCTGCTTGGTGTTTTTTTTCCCAAAGTTTCTTATATACATGTCATATTCATTTACTGGAGGTAGATCCAAGAGAGAGAAAGTGATGGAAAAATCCAAGTCAATAAGCCGAAGTAATTTTGTACTGCGTGTCCTTTAAAATAAATTGGAAACAAAATAAAAATTAAGTTAAATAATATATATGTAAAGAAGTTATAAAGGACAGAAAAGTCAGAACCTTGTGATTAGAAAATACACAGGCTGTTGTCAGGGATCTAATTTTTCTTTGGATGTGAATGGAGTTATTTAATAATCTATTGTTAAAAATAACTAACTAAAAGTCAGTCATGCATGAGCCAAAGATAAAGTATCATGAACCAAAAATATTGATTATTCCAACTCGGTATAACTGAGGCTAAAATAAAAATCATAATACACACTCATATGCTTAGAATTGTCATAAAAAAGGTAATTCACTTTGATCTTATAAATTCATATGTCAGAGTTAGGGAATTCATTTTTTGTGATTACACTACAGCAGCAAGTAGTATAGCTTTTCAAGTACATGCTTTGCTTTTTCAGACTACTGTTCTTGAGATTGTGCTGGGTTGTTGTTTTTTATTGAGTGTCATCAAGTTGATTCTGACTTTTAGTGACCATATAGGATAGAGTAGACCTGCACCCTAGGGTTTGCAAGGCTAGAATCTTTACAGGAATAGGTTGCCTGATCTTTCTCCTATCAAACCAGTTGGTGGTGGGTTCAAACTACCAATCTTCTGGTGAGCAGCCAAGAGCTTAACCATTGCACTACCAGGGCTTCTCATGAGACCACACTTTCATTTTCCATAGAACGATGGCCTTGATCTGCATTGTTAACCGTCCCTGCTACTTGATAAAATGCTCTTGATTTGGCTACCAAAACACTACATTCACTTTTCCTCCTGCTTGACAGATTGTCCCTTTTCAACCACCTTTGGTAGTTCCCGCTTTTCATTCAGACACTCACGCACATTTATTGATTTCCTTATATTTGTCACCCTTCCCCCACAAGAATATAAGGTTGGCAAGGTAAGAAATTTTAATTGCATTTACTAATATTTTCAAGGGCCTAGACAATGGTTGGCCCAGGGTTGGTACTAAACAAATATAAGTTGAATGAATAATTCTTCCAACATCCAGATATCTCAATAACTTGATTTGTTCTCTTCTACTCAATTCTCTCCTCCCTTCTTCAATATTCATGGTCTTCACTAGGAAGCGTGGAGCCCTGAGTGGCATAGTGGCATAGCAGCCCATATGCTAGGGGTGCTAACTGCAGGCCTGTATTTCAAAACCATCAGCCACTCTTTGGGAAAAAGGATGAGACTTTTTAATCCTATAAAAAGTCACTGTCTTAAAAATCCATACAAACAGTCCTACACTTGACCTATAAGGTCACTAAGAGTGGAAATGATCTTGATGGCAGTGAGTTTGGTTTTACTAAAAACTGCAACATTTCCATAATCTTAATCTCTTACCGCCATCTCCTAAATTTCCAATTTATTACCTTTTGTAGTGCAGTGATATCCTGGTGGTGTAACCAGCAGTTCAAAACCATTAGCTGGTCTGTGGGAGAAAGATGAGGCTTTCTACTCTCATAAAGAGTTGTAGTCCCTGATCATTAGCCATAAGAAAAATACAAATTAAAACTATGAGATACCATTGAACACCCTTGAGGTTAGCCCAAATCAGAAAATCAGAGAACAACAAATGTTGGAGGAGATGTGGCATGCTAGGAACTCTCCTCCGTTGCTAATGGTTGTGTAGATATGTACAGCCTCTGTGGGAAAAGATCTGGCGATATTTAAAGCAAATAGAAATGTATCTACCTTATGACCTGGCTACCCCTCTACTGGGCATATACCCCAAAGAGGTAAGATATAGACCACAATCAGTTGTCTGCGTTCCAATGTTTATTGTGGCACAATTCCAAATTGCAAAGAATTGGAAACAACCTAAATTTCCATCGGTAGAGGAGTGGATTAGTAAACTCTGGCACATACACACAAAGGAGTACTACGTATCACTAAAAAGCATTGATGATCACATGAAGCATGTAGTTTCGTGTAAAGAATTGGAGGAAATTATGCAAAGCGAGATCAGACAATCACAAAAGGTCAAGTACAACATGAGTCCCCTGAGGTAAGTATAACCAGCACAGTAGGTACAGAAGAAAAGGCACTTATCTCACAATGTACAGGTTCAGGTACAGGCAGTCAGGTGGAGGTCAGACCATACCCAAGGAGGTACCCAACACAAAGAAGGGTAAATGGAGGAAGGGGCAGGAGAAAAGTAGGGGAGAGGGAGATAATGGCATGGGAAGAGTAGGGCACTAACCCACCCAAGGGGAGAGTATTGGTTATGTCTCCACAGAATCGGGAGTGTGCATACAGACCCCACCACAGCACACCAAACCAAGAGAGCAACGTAACCACATGGAGAAATGCATGAAAAGACTGGGCTACAACAGTAGTTCTCAACCTTCCTAATGCTACAACCCTTTAATACTGTTCCTCATGTTGTAGTGACCCCCCAACCATAAAATTATTTTCGTTGCTACTTCATCACTGTCATTTTGCTACTGTTATGAATGGGGCAACCCCTATGAAAGTGTCATTCAACCTCCAAAGGGGTCGAGACCCACAGTTTGAGAACCGCTGGGCCCCAATCAGAGCCAAACTGACCCCCTCCCTAAAGTATGCACTACAGTGGACAACACTTAAACTGCAGGTTGGGGAGAGGGGCCACCGGCCTACTACGCTCACACGGAAGCAAATCAAGATGGAAAAAGAGAAAGGGACGGTCAGTCTAGACCCCATATCGGCACACCAAGCCCGGAGGACGACATCAATGCACAGAGCTGCTAGGGCACAAAGAGGACTGTAGGCCGACAACAGCTCAAGACATGTTGTCCTCTTCCTGGAGCATACCTCAACAGAGGGCAATAATGGGACACATGGCAGGGAGGTAGTCTGGTCTGAACCCCCACCACAGTGGGGTAAACCAAGAAGGCAACATAACAGATCAACAATGGAAGCAAAGCAAAGCCACAAAGCCCCTAAAGAGCCCCCAAAATAGACTTCAAGCCAGGAGAGGCAGCTCCCGGAATTTCCCCAGGACCAGTGGGGAGATAGCCATAAAGGTCAGCAGACAGACCTGGAATCATTGGGGAGATAGTCATAAAGGTCAGCAGACAGACCTGGAATCATGTGTTTTTTCTCCTCTTCTCTCTTTTTAAAAATCTTTTTGTTTGGTCTAGGTTATTGTTGGTTTGCCTACTTATATAAGACAGGCATGGGAAGCAAGCTCCAAGAGAAAGCAACAGGACCGACGGTCTCAGAGAGGCTTGGGGGGAGAAGGAGGTGGGGGAAGGGAGTGGTGAGCAAACAACACCATAGACAGGGGAACAACTAGGGAATTAAAAGCAACAACAAGGAGGACATAGAGATCCTGGGGGTGTTCGAGCAACAGCAATCTAGCTGAGAGTAAGTAGTAAGAGACAGAAGTAAGGCAAACGTGATGGTGGGCCAGGAGGAAGGTTAAAAAAAAAACAAAACAGAGGAACAATCTAGGGAAGCAAAGCTATGGATAGAGGTATAGGCATAAGAGCATACATATGTAAATATATTAATTCATAAAAATAGAGGTATTGGCCTATGTACATATATTTTTACATGGCAATACACTGAGGTAGCAAAAGGACTTTGGGCCTCTGCTCATACCCTCCTCCCTCAATACAATAACACTTAGTTCTAACAAACTGGCATCCTGTAATGTTCACCCTCCTGACACAATTGCTTAAGACAAAATGGGTGCATTAGCAAATGTGGTGAAGAAAGCAGATGGTGCCTGGCTAATAAAAGATATAGCATCTGGGGTCTTAAAGGCTTAAAGTTAAACAAGCAGCCATCTAGCAGAGAATGAACAAAGCCCACATGGAAGAAGCACACCAGTCGGTGTGATCATGAGGTGTCATTAGGACCAGGTCTTAGGTATCAGAAGACCCATAACAAACAAACGAAAAAACATATTGTTGAGAATGAGAGGAGTCAGAGCAG